AGAAACTATCCAGAGCTCAGAATCAGTTGGGCAGGAAATAGATTTTGGTAATGCATCAGTGAATAGATAATAATTGAAACTCTGAAAATCCCTGTAGTTTTTTTTTTTTTAAGCTTTATTTTATTTATTTGAAACAGTTACAAAGAGAGGTAGAGACGGAGAGAGATCTTCCATCTGCTGGTTCACTCCCCAGATGGCCACAACGGCCAGAGCTGCTCCGATCCGAAGCCAGGAGCCAGGAGTGTCTTCCAAGTCTCCCACGTGGGTACAGGGCCCCAAGGACTTAGGCCATCTTCTGCTTTCCCAGGCCATGGCAGAGAGCTGGATCGGAAGAGGAGCAGCCAAGGTTAAAACTGGCACCCATATGGGATGCTGGTGCTTCAGGCCAGGGCTTCAACTCACTGCGCCACAGCACCGGCTCTCCCTGCAGCGTTTTAAATTAAGAAATAAGCTATTGGGGTCGGCACTGTGGTGTAGCGGGTAAAGCTGCCACCTGCAGTGCCGGCATCCCTTATGGGCACTGGTTCAAGACCCAGCTGCTACAGTTCTAATCCATCTCTCTGCTATGGCCTGGGAAAGCAGTAGAAGAAGGCACAAACCAAGCTGTTGGGCCCTTGCACCCACGTGGGAGACCCAGAAGAAGCTCCTGGCTTCGGATCGGTGCAGCCCCAGCCATTGTGACCATCTGGGGGGTGAACCAGCAGATGCAAGACCTCTCTCTGCCTCTGCCTTTCAAATAAATAAATAAATCTTTTTTTTTTTTAAAGAAGCTATTGCTTTGAATCAGATTCTCTTTATCGTGTTAGAAACTATCTTGCTTTTTAAGAGCACTCAATTTGACTCACTTATTTCAAATATTAAAAAGTGATAATACTATTTTTCTTCTTTGCTATGTTACTATTATAAATGATCTTTCTTAATGCATAGCTGTTCTCTTACTCCAAGAAGAAGACATACTTGGTCTTTGAGTATATGTCATACTGTGTTTGATTTCCTAATATTTTACTTAGATTGAAGTGTCATCATATAGTAAATGATCTTTTTTAAAAGATTACTTATTCATGTATTTGAGAGGCAGAGTGGGGCCTGGTGATGTGGCCTAATGGGTAAAGCCCTTCCTAATGGGTAAAACATCCCATATGGGTGCCCACTCCACTTCTGATCCAGCTCCCTGCTGATGTGCCTGGGAAAGCAGCAGAAGATGCCCAAGTAGAGACTCGGAAGAAGCTCTTGGCTTCAGATGTGCCCAATTGCAGCTATTGCAGCCATTTGAGGAGTGGACCAGTGGATGAAAGATTCTCTCTCTCTCCCACTCTCTCTGTCTTCCCCCCGCCCCGTCACTCTGCCTTTCAAGTAAATAAATAAATGTGGTTTGTTTTTTTATTTAAAAAAAAAAAAGGCAGTGTGACAGAGAGAGAGATCTTCGACCCACTAGTATGCCTACATCAGTGGGAGCTGGGCCAGGCCCAAGCTAGGAGCCAAGAACTCCAAGCAGGTCTCCCATGTGGGTGGCAGAAACCCAAGTATCTGGGCCTTCATTCACTGCCTTCCCAGCTGCAGTAGCAGGAAGCTGGATTGAGAGTATTGTAGCCTGGACTCAAACTGACACTCCAATATAGGATACAGGTGTCACAAGCAGTGGCTTAACCTACTGTGCCACCACGCCTGCCCCTAGGTGCTCTTCTTAACCAAATTTCAGGATTCTATTTGTCAAACAGACAGGATGCCCCTGGCTGGGAGGCTCCTTCTCAGAATTCCCAGTTTCCTTCCATTGCATGCTTGTCAGGCATCAGTTACCAAACTGGTCATCTCAGTTACAACACTTATTGTGATTATATAACATAATGACCCATTACTGATAAAGCATGTGTTAAAAAACAAAGGTTAGATGCTTTGGACATCCTTGATAAAGACAAGTTACTTTGAAAATTTCTATTATGTGTGAATAAAACAACTGACTTTGCATTCAGATACCTTAAGCAATTGTCTTTTTTTTTTTTTTTTTTTTTTAAATTTTTTGACAGGCAGAGTGGACAGTGAGAGAGAGAGACAGAGAGAAAGGTCTTCCTTTTGCCGTTGGTTCACCCTCCAATGGCCGCCGCGGCCGGCGCGCTGTGGCCGGCGCACCGCGCTGATCCGATGGCAGGAGCCAGGAGCCAGGTGCTTTTCCTGGTGTCCCATGGGGTACAGGGCCCAAGCACTTGGGCCATCCTCCACTGCACTCCCTGGCCACAGCAGAGAGCTGGCCTGGAAGAGGGGCAACCGGGACAGAATCCGGCGCCCAAGCAATTGTCTTTTTAAATCTTACTCTAGGCCAGCACGGCGGCTCACTTGGCTAATCCTCCACCTTCGGCACCGGCACCCCGGGTTCTAGTCCCGGTTGGGGCGCCGGATTCTGTCCCAGTTGCTCCTCTTCCAGTCCAGCTCTCTGCTGTGGCCCGGGAAGGCAGTGGAGGATGGCCCAGGAAGGCAGTGGAGGATGGCCCAAGTGCTTGGGCCCTGCACCCGCATGGGAGACCAGGAGGAAGCACCTGGCTCCTGGCTTTGGATCAGCACAGCACACTGGCCGTAGCGGCTATCTGGAGGGTGAACCAACGGAAAAAGGAAGACCTTTCTCTCTGTCTCTCTCTCTCACTGTCTAACTCTGCCTGTCAAAAAAAAAAAAAAAAAAAAAAAAAATCTTACTCTAAGGGGCCGGCACTGTAACATAGAAGCTTAAGAAGTGTCAGCATTCCATATGGGTGCCGGTTTGAGTCCCGGCTGCTCTACTTCAGATCCAGCTCCCTGCTAATGCAAAGCAGTGAAAGGTGGCCCATGTTTTGGGTCCCTGCACCCATGTGTGAGGCCCAGACGAAGCTCCTGGATCCTGGCCTTGGATTAGCCCAGCTCCAGCCATTGTGGCCATTTGGAGAGTAAATCAATGGATAGAAGATCGATTTTGTCTATCTGTCTTCCTCTACCCTCCACTGCATATCTCTGCCTTTTCAAATAAACAAATTAATCTTTTTTAAAAAACTTAGTTTGAGGAAATAACAATGAGAAATTGCAGACAGCATTTTTTTGTTTGTAGTTTAGACAAGAAATAGGAAATAGAAGCAGAACAACATCCAAAGAAAAGGACTTGGCTCTACATAAACAGGATTGGTAAATTAATGCATATGTTTTGTTAAATGTTTGGCATATATGTATATAATTGTTCTTTTAATTTGACATTTTAACTGACCAACTCTGTATAATGGTAATGTCAAATAACAAGATTTATTTGGGGCCGGCGCCGCAGCTCACTAGGCTAATCCTCCGCCTAGCGGCGCCGGCACACCGAGTTCTAGTCCCGGTCGGGGCGCTGGATTCTGTCCCGGTTGCCCCTCTTCCAGGCCAGTTCTCTGCTGTGGCCCGGGAGTGCAGTGAAGGATGGCCCAAGTACTTGGGCCCTGCACCCCATGGGAGACCAGGAAAAGCACCTGGCTCCTGGCTCCTGCCATTGGATCAGCACGGTGCGCCGGCCGCGGCGGCCATTGGAAGGTGAACCAACGGCAAAGGAAGACCTTTCTCTCTGTCTCTCTCTCTCACTGTCCACTCTGCCTGTCAAAAAATAAAAAATAAAAAAAAAATTAAAAAAAAGATTTATTTGTAAGTGAAGTTGGGTTTTGGTATTTCATATTTTCCCAATAGCTCTTTTTATTTTTTAAAGATTTATTTGAAAGTCAGAGTTACAGGGAGAGGCGGGGGGAGGGGGTTCTCCATCCGCTGGTTCGCTCCCCAGATGGCCTTAATGGCCGGAGCTGCGTTGATCCAAAGCCAGGAGCCAGGAGCTTCCTCTGGGTCTCCCACCTGGGTCAAGGGCCCAAGGACTTAAGCCATCTTCTACTTCTTTCCCAGGCCTTAGCAGAGAGCTGGGTCAGAAGTGGAGCAGCCCAGACTCAAACCAGTGCCCATATGAGATGCTAGCACTGCAGCCAGCAACTTCACCCGCTATGCCACATCGCTGGCCCCCCCAATAGCTTTTTAAAAATATCTTGGAATCTATTTTTCATTCATTATACTCATGAAATAACCCAAAAATTAATTGCTGCTTGAATATTTGGAAAAACTGCTTATGAAGCCAGATGAGCCCTGAACTTATTTAAAGAAATGATTACTGGGTTTATGGCCCTGTACAAAGTGCCTGGGTTCAAATCCAGCCCCAGCTCTGACTGCAGCTGCTTGCTAATGCAAACTTGGGAGGCAGCAGTATAGGCTCAAGTAATTGGGAAGCTGCAACCCATGTGGGAAACTTGGATAGTGTTCCCCCAGCTCCCAGCTTCAGCCCTGGCCTGACCCTGGCTGTTACAGGCCTTTGGAGAATGAACCAGGAAATGGTAACTCTCTTCCTCTCTTTCTGCCCATGAGTTTAAAAAATGTGAAGTGTTCACAATAGGGAGATAATTTTTTTAGTTAAGTCAAGTTTGAACTCAGTTAAACGGAATTTATTCCCAGTTTACTAGAGCTTTATTAGAGCCCTGATCCCTTCAGAAGTCCCTTCTGCCTCCAAGCTGTCAAGTGATTTTTAGAACCCGACGGTTGCGTTTTGACATGCTGAAAGTGAGCTACACGTAATCACATCACAATTTGACATTAGTGAGGACAATTTCAAAATTATATATTTTTCTTGAAAGAATGGAGAAGCTAAATTAAGCCTATGTTAACAAGAATTTGGTTTGAGCCAGCTGTGCTGAATATCAGTAAAAGTTACTGGGAATTTGGAGCATGTTGTTAGATGCTGACGTGGCTGTAAGCCACAGTAGGTTATAAAAGAGTTTAATTTCCTTAAGAAGCATTAATGAATATAACATACCTAGATACTCATTTGCAGTGACTGCTTATGCAGAAATACTTGTTTCCCTTGAATGACCTGTATCTTTTTCATTTATCCTCACTTTTTCTTTCATTAATGTAGTATTTAAATAAACATTACAGTGTTCCATGTATTTTGAGAGATCTCTATTCCATTTGTCCTAAAGACTGGGACAGGGAGAAGTTACTTGAAGCGTGGATGTCCAACCCAGAGAATTGCTGCCAGCGATCAGGTGTACAGATGCCAACTCCACCACCAAGCGGGTACAACGCCTGGGACACACTGCCTTCTCCAAGAACTCCAAGGACCACACGCTCTTCTGTCACCTCTCCCGATGAAATCAGCTTATCTCCTGGGGATTTGGACACCAGTTTGGTATGGTTGGGCTTTCAGTGTCCTTTCCATGACTTTGTTGTTAGTCTTGCCAGTTTAATATTGCTCCGTGGAGTATCCTTAAGTTTGTAACTGATTCTTTGAGTGCTCAGTTACTTCCATGCTTTATTGTTTACTATCACAGAATGCTTTTGTGGCTTCTCCAGTATAGATTGAAAAACAAAAGATTTTCTTTGCTCATTTCAAGATAGAGTTTGGGGAAGTCATCTGCTATATTTTTACTTAAAACCTCCAGGTGCTTAAAGCTTTGAACACAGCTACTGAAATATTAGAAGTTGAGTTTATAGGCAAGTTAAACCAAAAATATAAAAACATTCTTATAGTTTCTTAAAAGCTGTTCACTTTAAAGCACTTTCAGTAAAGCCTCTGGCGTCTGTCCTGCAGATGCATCTCCACAGTGATATTTCTTTCCTGTGAAGAAGTAGTACTGCCGCTGTCTGGGTTTTTAAATCATCATACCGCTGGTGTGCTGTGTTAGGAAACGTTGATACTTGTTGAATGATTTAGCCACTACATATTTTATTTTATCTAGATCATTTTGGAAAACAGAATCCTAGCTGTGTAATTTGCATTTGTAACATAGAGACTGCTTCCAGGAAGTCTGTTAGAAGATGCGTGGTTTTCTAGCAGGATTCCCTGGATAGAAAGCCTCAAGTTGCTACTCAGAATATCCTGAGTTGCTGTGTTAAATACAAAGTTACTCTGTTTTTGCAGATTCCCCAGGGTAAGTATAGGGAAAAGGATGTGATATGGAAGTGATTATTTTGCATGCAGTTTGCTCTTGACCTGAATAAATCTGAGTAATACATAAATTTAGAACTGAAGGGTTTGACTTTTATAATGCAACATTTAAATTCCACAGTAGTTGATAATGAGTTAGTCATGATGTTTGTTATTTAAAGGTATGTACACTAATTTTAACTGCCCTTATAACTTTGAGCTGCTTAACTATTAAAATTCATACGTACTGTACTCATATTTTTGCCTTCAAGCTAATGAACAAAATGAATGCGTTGTTCTTTGCCCCACAGCGTGAGACTGTTTCAATCACTGTTCTTCTTCCTCTCCAGTGTGACATTTGCATGTGCAGTATCTCTGTATTTGAAGACCCAGTGGATATGCCCTGTGGACATGACTTTTGTAGAGGATGTTGGGAGTCGTGAGTATATGAACAACTTAGCGTTTCTTACTGCATGATAGCATTTTGATTTGGTAATGAAAAATGTTTGCTTGCAATGTAACAATATGGCTTCTTTATGTTAGTCTCAGAGTTAAAGTGAAATGTGTTTTACTACTAGGGAGGAATATGTTTATTTTTCTGATTTTTCACATCTTCCCTGCTATATTATTTAATGCTATTTAGTTCAATGTCAGGTACTTTTGGGAACAAATTTTCTTGGTGGTTTAATTTATGTTGCATCAAATGTAAATTTCACACCTATCCCTAAATAGTAAGAATTAATTTCTGTATTACTCCCAAAGTTTGTGTTTGATCTTGTGCTTTCTTTTAATATTTTGTGACAAGTAGTTAGCCTTGAAAATCTATAAGAATGTGCATATTTAAAATTCCTTTTTAGTCAATGTATAGTTATATGTCTCTGCTAGACGTGGTTAGGTATATCTTACAAATGTTTGTCTCTAATCTGTTTCCCATTATCTTATCAGAATGTATTCTCATTATCCATTGACTTTGGTCTCAGATTACACTTTTTGGAAGAGATTTGTAAACACGAAGATCAGTATAACGAGAGTAGGAGGTCACCTTATCTCTGGCAACACAGAGCTACAGTTTGGAGACTTACATGAAACATGTTAGTTAGTATGTAAGGAAGTCTTAAAAATCAGAAGTTTTCAAACTTTTTTCATGTGTACCAAGTGCAGGGAGGTGGGGAACGTCATATGGGTGAAAGAGCAAGAACCCAAGCAAATTTTCTGTTTTTGTTTTGTTTGTTTAACAGCTTTATTGGGGTATTATTGACGTACGTCAAACCACATGTATAAAAATAAATAATTTTGTAACTTTTCACATCTATGGGATTGTGTGTGTACACAATCATGACATCATCACCACAGTCAGGATGATTATATCCATACTCTGAAAATGTCCTCATTTCCCCTTCAATGCCTCCTGCCCTCCTCCTTCTGCCTCCCGCTCACCCTCCTATACCCACTGTACCCCCTGATGTTAAGGCAGCCTACCGATCTGTCATTCTGGTTTCATTTTTAGTACATTTTCTTTATTTTTGTTTATCAAATTGGAGTATGAGGCAAAATTTCACTTGAAGAGGAAAAAAGCTTGCTTTTTAAAAAGAATGAATAAGAATATCAAGTCATTCCTTTTAAAACAGGCTAGACTGTACTCTGAGTCTAGTTAGGTAGGCTGCCGTCAGTGGGGCTGACACAGTAAACTGATTGGCAAGGTTCAGCACTCCCCGTCCAAAGCCATCCTGGACTCTAAATTTTGCCCAGGTACAGAGCTTTATTTAGCTTAAAGTAGTTAGCTCTGCTGTGTCAGCAGGTGTTGCCTGGTTCTGCTGGGTTTGCAGCTGTTGACCTTAGTGTCTGTGAAAGCTGAGCTCTCAGTTTTCGATTTACTCGAAATTTTTTGAACTTTTCTTGACCTTCCTCACCTTCCTCACATCACAGGAACCACTACTATTTTCCTGGCACCTAACCGGCCTACCTGGAATTCTACTGCCCATCTCTGCCTTTTCCTTTCAAGTCAAGCACCAGTAAAACAACTTACATGGTGGACGATTCATATGTTGATAAAAATCATTTTTTAACTTTTATTTAATAAATATAAATTTCCAAAGTACAGCTTTTGGATTTCTTCCCACCCACACCCCTCCCATCTCCCACTGCTTCTCCCATTCCATTGACATCAAGATTCATTTTCAATTCTCTTTATATACAGAAGGTCAATTTAGTGTATATTAAGTAAAGATTTCATCAGTTTGCACCCACACAGAAACACAGTATAAAGTACTGTTTGAGTACTAGTTATAGCATTAATTCACATTGTACAACACATTAAGGACAGAGATCCTACATGGGGAGTAAGTGCACAGTGACTCCTGTTGTTGACTTAACAAATTGACACTCTTGTTTATGGCATCAGTAATCACCCGAGGCTCTTGTCTTGAGTCGCCAAGGCTATGGAAGCCTTTTGAGTTTGCCGACTCCGATCTTATTTAGACAAGGTCATAGTCAAAGTGGAAGTTCTCTCCTCCTTTCAGAAAAAGGTACCTCCTTCTTTGAAGACCTGTTCTTTCCACTGGGATCTCACTCACAGAGATCTTTCATTTAGGTCTTCTCTTTTTTTAATCACTTTTTAACTCATGCAGTCTTTTTGTAGAAAAGAAGCTCCTGTCTCAAAACCAGGAAGTGCTTCTAACATCCTCACGTCACTTGAAAGCTCCTCAGTCTATGTTGCTCTTCCCAACCCCTCTTACAGGTGCACCAGATGCTATGAAGCACCTGTACCAAGGGCTTAAATGAACTGTCATGATTGTCTCCCATCCAGACCATAATAGCCTTCTCAGTACTGAGGATGAGAGTTCAGGTTCTAGACATACTAGGCTACTGGGCTGTGAATTCCATCTCTGCTGTGTATTAGTTACTGACTTAAGTAAATGGTAAATTACCTATGCTTCAGTTTCCTAATCTATGAAATTATGATAGTAGTTAAGTACTCCATAGGACCATTGTCAGTTTATTAAGTGACTTAATACAGGCAAAGTGCTTAGAACAGGGCCTGGCACATAATAAAATTATCCAATAAATATCTTTTGGCATTGTAATAAGCAAAGCAAGCATGTGACTAACTGTGAAGCTGACCTACAGGATAAAAATACAGGGGAAGTCTGCCCCAGATTTGTTCCTTTTACTGACTCATCAACTCTTGGTTCTGCTCTTAAGACTTAGTGGAAAAGTGGACGTTGATGGCTAGCAGAGAACTGATCCTGTCTTCTGTGAGGTCTTCTCAATTCTGTCATACACCCCTAGAAACATTTAAATCTGCTCTGATGTATTTAGAATACATACAATTCAAAACATCGTCTAAGAAAACTGTGTACATTGACAGGGGACTTTTTTAAGTATTAAAATAAACTATACCCAAATTTCCAGGGAACCTATTCATAGTTAAAAGGAAGAGATTCCTGTTACATGCAAAAAGAACATCTACATATAGCAATTCTCCTTTTTTTTTTTTTTTTTTTTTAATAAAGATTTATTTACTTGAAAGACAGAGTTACGATGGGGAGGGGGAGGATGGAGAGGCAGAGGGAAGCATCCACTGATTCACTTCGCAAATGACTACAATAGCCAGAGCTGAGCCCATCCGAAGTCAGGAATCAGGAGCTTCTTCCGGGTCTCTGAAGTGGGTGTCAGGGCCCATGCACTTGGGCCATCCTCCATTGCTTTCCCAGGTACATTTATAGGGAGCTGGATTGGAAGTGGAGCAGCTGGGACTCAAACTGGCCACTGGCCCCATAGCAATTCTCTTTAACTTTTAGTCTTGAGCCTCCTTTACACTCTTAAAAATTGTTAAGAACTCCAAAAAGCTTTTGCGTTTACAGGTTATGTATTGCCATATGTAATATATTAGGAATTAACAATGGAAAAGTTTATCAATACGTTTTAAAAATAACAATTATAAACTCCAAAATATATTAAGTAATATTTACTGTGAACAGTAGCTATAATTTCCAAAAATTGAATTAGAAAGATGATATTGTTTTACCTTTCTGCAAATCTTCTTAATGTCTAGTTTAATGAAAGATTGCTGTATTCTCAAATCTGCTTCTGCACTGATCTGCTGCACTATATTCTTTTGACTAACAAATATAAGGAAAACCAGGCCACACAAATGTGACAGTGAAAAAAAGAGAAGTATATTAGTAGTCCATTCAGATAATTGTGGACACTATTTGATACACATCAGAACTTAGCAAGTGATAACTTTTTGTTGTTTAGTTGAAGTGCAAACTCTGAAACCTTATCAATAGACTCTTTGTACTCTATTGCATTAAAATCCATCTGTCTTATGATTTGAGTAAATCATGAATAAATGCATGATTTTTAGCATCATTCATTTATCATTTGGAAAATTCTGGTCCCCTAACTTTTGTAAATCTTCTAAGTTGACATGTCTCTTGAATAAAAAAAAAAGTCTCTTAAGTATTAAGAAGCTTGTCAAGTTCACAATAACAGATAAAAGTTTTTCAAAATTCTAATTTTTACTTGACACCTTGAGTTTATCATGGGCAAAAAATGCTATTAGTTTTATACTTGAAGTGACAGACTCAATTCATTTTTTTAAAAAAGTCATTTTCAGAACTCTGAATAATTATTTTTGTAGTCACTTTTTCAGATAACATAGTGTTTAATGAAAATAGCAGTTGTGTCTGCTTGCAAATGAACCATCTCAGAGAGTTGTTCCCTAAGACAACCATCTTGTCTTAGTGTATGGAAGTTTATTCTGCTTACTTCCTTGTTTTTATGATTTATTTGAGAGGGAGAGAGAGGGAGGGAGAGACAGAGAGAGATCTTCCATCTGCTGGTTCACTCCCCAGAGGGCTACAATGGCCAGGGCTAGGGGAAGCCAAAACCAGAAGCCAGGAGCTTCATCCAGGTCTCCACACGGGTTCAGGGGCCCAAACACTTGGTCCATCTTCTGCTACTTTCCCAGGCGCATTAGCAGGAAGCTGGACTGGAAGAGGAACAGTCTTTCATCAGTGACATTCTTGAATTAAACTTTTTTAAACTATAAATGTGGGATGCTAAGTGTTAAGATAGAGACAACAGCTGGTGTAGTTTCAGTGTCGCTGCGGGGATTCGTGCCGAAACACCAGCAGTTCAAAACAAAACACAGTCTTAGTACCACTGTGAGGCTCGTGCTGACCTCATGAACCCTGAAAGCCACCAGAAAGCCCCGCAGCCCGGAAGAGCATGTTTTGAGAACGGATTCCCTGTGGCATTTCCTTTCAGTGCTTCATTCATCCTTCCACCGAAATGTTTTCCCTGACATCCAGAGGAATACATACAACTTTTGATTGGGGGCTAGTTAGTTACTAAATGCCCTTCTGTTGGGATATATCAGAGTTTTATGTGAAAACAGTGTGGCTTTCAAATTATACTAAATTTAGAGGGGGAAGTTTTTTTTTTTTTTTTTTTTTTTTTAAGATTTTTTGAAAGAGTTACAGAGAGAGATCCTCCATTCCCTGGTTACTCCTCAGATGGCCACAGCTGCTGGGGCTGGGCCAGGCCAAAGCCAGGAGCCAGGAGCTTCATCCAGGTCTCCCATATGGGTGGCAGGGGCCCAAGCACTTGGACCATCTTCCACTGCTTTTCCCAGGGCGCTGAATCGGAAGTGGAACAGCTGGGACGTAAACCAGCTCCCACCTGGGATGCTGGCATTGCAGGTTGGCAGCTTTATCTGCTGTGCCACAACCCCGGCCCTTAGAGGGGAAGATTTTAAACAAGTTGAAATTAAAATGCCTGTGGGACATTTAAATGAAAACATCCCATGTATAATTAAGATATCTAGCTAGGCAAGGCAGTCTGGGCTTCAAATTTCAGTCATTAGCATACAGGTTGTTAGGGGTGTTTGGATGGAACTGGAAGGGAAGAATTTTGAGGTGGAAACCCAGTAAACAGTAAAATATAAGGGGTCAGGAGTAACAAGGGCACTAGTAGAATAAATGGACAAGGAAATACAGTTAAAAAGCATGAGAAGTCTCAGCCGGCGCCACGGCTCACTAGGCTAATCCTCCACCTCCGGCGCTGGCACCCCGGGTTCTAGTCCTGGTTGGTACACCGGATTCTGTCCCGGTTGCTCCTCTTCCAGTCCAGCTCTCTGCTGTGGCCCGGGAAGGCAGTGGAGGATGGCCCAAGTCCCTGCACCCGCATGGGAGACCAGGAGAAGCACCTGGCTCCTGGCTTCAAATCAGCGCGGTGCTGGCCACAACGGCCATTGGGGTGTGAACCAACGGAAAAGGAAGACCTTTCTCTCTGTCTCTCTCTCACTGTCCACTCTGCCTGTCAAAAAATAAATAAATAAATAAGAAGCATGTGAAGAAAAAAATTAAATTCAGGAACCTGGAGGGAAAGAAAGAATTTGAGAGGAGAAACTGTTGAGCTATGAAAAAGGAAACCATTCAGCCGTGTCTGATGCTCCAGAGATGCCAGGGACGTTAAAAAGGAGAAGTCTTGCATAAACTGGGCTAATTTCTTTGCCGTGGCCCTGTTGTGAGCCAGCCAATTGAAGCCAGAGTGCTGTAGGTGGAAAAGTCAATGAGAGAGACCCGAAAAAGGAATGACAAATCACCATAAGCCGTTTTGTCAAGACACGTTGACGTGAAGGACAAGTGGAACTACAGAGAGTCGTGGGTTAGAAGGGGTTTTCAAGAAAGGAGAAACTTGAATATGTGTATTGTGACCAGGGTAAGAGCCGTTAAAGTAACAATGACGAGGGCAGGTTAGTGGGGCAGTGCAGGTCCTAGAGCTGGCCAGACTGTGTGAGGAACAGCCTGAGCAAGAGAGGAAGAAGCCCTGTGTCAGCGAACTGACGGGGAGAAAGCAAAGACAGCAAAAGGCGGGTTTGGGGTGCGCTGACGAGGACTCCGAGAGCGCTGCCGGGGGACTCCGTTTTCTGTGAGGTGCTGAGATTGAGGGTGTGGAGGGAGATGATGTGTGGAGCCAAGGGAGCAGATCTGATGAGGTCTCATTAAGGTTTGTTTGGTCGTAAGCACAATAGAATTAAGACTGAGAGAACTAAAAGAAAAAGGTATCATCAGTAGAATAAACTGTTAATGGTGTGACTCAAGAGTGGTGATTTAAATGTCCAGTTTTCCATTTATTTTCTCTAGGATTAAGTGTTAAATCCAATGTAATCTTGCTTTTCCACAAGCAGTATTAAATAACATTAATAATGATAATCCTTACTCCAATTTGTGAGTTTTTCCTCTGTGCCAGACACCATGCAGATATTTCATATATATTGTATAGATCTGTAAAACAACTCTGGGAAGTACAGACTGTTACCTCGTTTCACATGTGGTGAAACAGGCTAAGAATAAATAAGTTCCTTAAGATCCTACAGTTTGTGGCAGATCGAGAATTTTCCAACTCAAAATCCTGCTCTTAACCATTTAATTGATCTTGAGCTCTATTCCTGCTGCTTTACAGAGTGATTTTTTTCTTATTGTCTTGACAAGTGTATCTAGAGTAGGTCTTTTTTTTTTTTAAAGATTTTGTTTATTTTATTTGAGAGATAGAGTTAGAGACAGTGAGAGGTAGAGACAGAGAGAGGTCTTCCTTCCATTGGTTCACTCTCCAAATGGCCGCAATGGCCAGAGATGTGCCGATCCGGAGCCAGGAGCTTCTTCCTGGTCTCCCACATGGGTGCAGGGGCCCAAGGACTTGGGCCATCTTCTACTGCTTTCCCAGGCCATAGCAGAGAGCTGGACTGGAAGTGGAGCAGCCAGGACTAGAAACAGTGCCCATATGGGATGCCAAGGGGCGCTGGTGCCGCAGGCGGAGGATTAACCTGCACCTTGGTGCCGGCCCCCTTAGAGTAGGTCTTAACACTGATTTTGATATTTATCTAAATGAAATATAAAAAAAAAAACTTTTCTTCAAATATTTGTGCTATATCCCATGCCACTCCAAAATATCTTGAATTATTTATGGTTAATTTCTGTACCATTGCCCCCTTTCATTTAAAGATATAGTGTAGGATATTGAGAATTGAATATGACCTTTTTACTCCACTCATTTCTAAATGTTTAATGTTAAGTAAAAATATTGTTTCAGACTTTAAAATAGAATAAAGCAAGACATAGACATGTAAGAATATATAAAACACAAGTATGTATATACATATATTCATCTATATATGAAAAATGAGTACCTGGGTAAGTAATTAGGATCACTTGATTTTTTACACTTTATTGGTACTTTTTAAATTACACACATAACAGAAAATTCAGCATAAAGAAAAAGTCCTTAGAATGTGCAGATAACTTGTGTTTGCTCTTCTCTTGTCAACTGATGATGCGAATAGGTTTTTGAATCTAAAAATTCAAGAAGGTGAAGCTCACAACATTTTCTGCCCTGCGTACGATTGCTTCCAGCTGGTGCCTGTGGACATCATAGAGAGTGTGGTTTCTAAGGAGATGGATAAACGGTACCTACAGTTTGATATTAAGGTGTGCTGCCAATCATCTGTCTGGTTTCCATAATTTCAAATGTACAATATTTAGTTATTTTTATTTATTTTTGAAAACAAAATCATGGACTCCAGCTTTCATTTCTCAGAAAAACTACCAAAAAGAATGCTGGCATTAAAGTTCTCAGCTGAAGTATTATTTTAAAAGAAAATGAAAAATGAAAGGATAAAATAGTTAAGAATTAAATTTTTGCTCAGAACTATGTACTGCTTGGCCTACTACACTTTTATAACTGACTGACTGAGGTAATATTAAAAGTAGTACCTGCTTTAAGTTTTCCAAAGACATTAAATGTTTAGAAAAAAAGATTCTGAACTTAGAAATTTATGATTTTTGCATTCTAATAGTTTCGTATAATGAATCAGAATGTTTTATTTAATCTTTTCTATATATTCATTCAGAAGTTACTCAAAAATATATGGAAGTCATTATCTCTTTTGTGTGATTTAAAAGTTACATTTTAGCTACCTTGAGCAGATTTTTCCTAGTATATACCCTAATCTAAGGACTTTTTTAAAAATGCCCTGCTTCTTTTTCGTAGAAAGCATCATAATAGAAGTGGGTGTTATAGCGTAAGGGGTTGAGCAACTGCTTGCAATACCTACACCCCATGGCTGAATGCCTAGCATTGAGTCCTGTCTCTACTTTGCCGTCCAGCTTCCTGCCAATGCACCTGGGAGGCTGCAGATAGTGGCCCAAGTACATGGGGTCGCTGCCCCACACATGGGATCCCAGATGGAGATCCCGGCTACTGGTTTCAGCAAAGCCCAGGGTGTTGCAGGCATTTGGGGAATAAACCAGCAGATAAGAGATCTTTGTCTCTCCCTCTGTCTGTCACTTTGCCTTTCAAATAAAATACTTTTTAAAATCTTAAACCAAAAAAAAAAAGAGAAAAATTTGTAATATTAATTTTTATGGATTATTAAAGTTCCCTTTGGAAGCTTAATGTTATAATACAGCTGCTAATTACATTACATATATGATCTACTTGTATTTCAACACAAAAGTGGCATATTAGAAAATATTTTTAAATTAGGTGTTTTTAGGTAATTGCATTTTTACTTTATCATCATTTACCTCTTTTAGATTAAAGAAAATTCTGTCAGGGCAAGAGTTTGACCTAGTGGTTAAGATGTCTGTGTCCCACATCCAAGTGCTTGTGTTTAATGCTCGCCTCTGGTTCCTGGCTCCAGCTTCTTGCTAATGCAGACCCCAAGAGGCAATGGTGATGGCTCAAGTACTTGGGTTCTGGCCACCCATGTGGAAGACCTGAGTTGAGTTCCTAGCTTCAGCCTCAGTTTAGACATTTGGGGAGTAAATGGGAATAGATGGGAGAGTACTTGCTCACCGCCCCAACCCGCTCCCCTCTCTCTCTCTTTCTGCCTCTCAGATAATTCATTAAATACTAAAATAAATAGAAAACATATTGTTACTACTTAAGTGTTTTCTATACTCTGCATTACTCTTACAAATATTTCTTGAAACTGACAACTCCTTATATTTTATTTCACTTTTTTTTTTTGCTTTGAAGTAACAGTCTACTCTATTTAGAATTTAAATTTTTTATGTGTTTTGTTATTGCTGTTTAAACAGGCCTTTGTTGAAAATAATCCTGCCATTAAATGGTGTCCTACCCCAGGCTGTGAAAGAGCAGTCAGACTCACGAAGCAGGGGTCAAGTACATCGGGATCTGATACACTGAGCTTTCCACTGCTGAGAGCTCCTGCTGTGGACTGTGGAAAAGGACACCTCTTCTGCTGGTTGGTATAAGACAAGTTGGAATCAGTCTCATTGCCTTTCTTACAGTTTTCAAAGAGAACTTATACCTTAATTCAAGCTTTTAAATTGTAGTATACTTGCTATAATTCCTGTTCATCTTAAAAATGTGTAATAAGTAGTAATAGTTGATATTTTTATGGTGTGCTTGATAAGTGCCAAGTACCTTGTCAGGCATTAAATACTGAATTCTGTCAACAGTGCTGTCTATGAGCTGAGTGCTGTTAGTTTGCCTAATGTACAGATAAGGAGATTCAGGCACAGAGAAGTTCTCCAGGGTTATGCAGCTGGGCAACGGTGGAAATGGGGTTGGAGTCTAGACCTATTTGATTCCAGAGCCCATGTGCTTGAACTGTAATACCAACTGCTGATCAGAGATCCGAAAATATTTAACTTCTCTTGGTAAAATAGAAGCCTCTAGCAGTGTTTTTTGTTTTTTTTTTTTTTTTTGACAGGCAGAGTGGACAGTGAGAGAGAGACAGAGAGATAAAGGTCTTCCTTTGCCGTTGGTTCACCCTCCAATGGCCGCCGCTGCAGCCGGCGCACCACGCTGATCCGATGGCAGGAGCCAGGAGCCAGGTGCTTTTCCTGGTCTCCCATGGGGTGCAGGGCCCAAGCACCTGGGCCATCCTCCACTGCACTCCCTGGCCATAGCAGAGAGCTGGCCTGGAAGAGGGGCAACCGGGACAGAATCCGGCGCCCCGACCGGGACTAGAACCCGGTGTGCCGGCGCCGCAAGGTGGAGGATTAGCCTATTGAGCCACGGCGCCGGCCTCTAGCAGTGATTTTTAAACAGGGATTCCAGAATTGCATGGAGACTTTCTCTGAGTTTTTATCCTGAGCCCCCGCAGGTAAGATTTTGATTTAGAAGGTTTTTGAGGAGGGCATGGAAGTGCTCCCAAGTGATTCTAATGCACAGTCCTACTAAGGAACCAGTGCCTGCAGGCTTTTTGTGCCTTGTGTTTTATAAATACTTAGTATTTGTAAAACGATAGTGGAGAAAATATTATTACCTCGGTCCTTTGTCTCACATGGAAGAATTTCCAAGCGGACAAGGCAAAGAGGAAAGTGAGATTTAAAGACTTAAAAGCAAGATTTATTAGCGCCAGAGACCTCCAGCCAGAGTGGCATGGAGGGGGACTGCAAGAGAAGCAAAACCCGAAGGACCCCAGGGCACTGGGGTTTTCAAGTGCAATTTTGGGGATGAATCTGTCAATCAATAAGGTGGGGGCAACTCCAACAAAAGACCTGATTTACAATTCTTTATCCTGTCTGTCTTGCTCACCATAAAACAGAAACCCATCACAAGAGTGGGATACCTAATTTGTTTTCACAATAAACTGTCATCACCACTCCTTTGCTATTCTTAGGGTAAATTGAGGGTGGACATTTTGTTCTTACTAAAGATAACTTTTGGGGGGAAAGCAAGCATTCTACACCCCTGATTCCACTGGGACCACCCTGACTGCCTATTAACCCATCTGACTCCTCACTTTATGAACTGATGATAGGCAAATCAGTAACGGAAAAGGTATGTAACTGTATACTGGTTAGACAGTTAGGTGCTCAGCCATTGGCATTCTACTTGATTCAGAGTAATTTAGTGTTTTGTTGTTGTTCATTAAATACTCAGAAAAAAAGAAGTCATATTTATTCTGCTTTTTTGTTCATTTCCAGAATTACCGCATATGTCTAGATATACTTTGGCTGGGGATAAAACTCTAGTTTTTACTTTTATACTTTCTGAAACCAAAATCTGATCTTAGTATTGCTAGGTAGTCAGTCTGTTCCTTACTCTTATCATTATTAACTAAAAATGTTTATTGATCTGTCAACTTATGTATAGGACCAAATTCTAGGTCACAGATTAGCAAGCTACAATCTGTACATATTTCTGGAAATAGTTTTATCAAAACGCAGTCACAACCTTTCATGCTGATTGAATTATATATTGTTTGTGTCTGCTTGGGGATGTGACGGCATAATGGAGTAGTTCCAACAGAGGTCTTGTGACCCACAAAACTCAAAATATTTAGTGTTCTGACGCTCTACAGAAAATTTTTTGCTGACCCCTGGTACTTGGATTTACTAATTAATGAAAGCGAAGCTATGCTTACTGCTTTTGTGGCTAAATCAGACTGAGCAAATAAAAACGCAACAGAATGCTCAACAATAGGTTATATCCACCTGAAACCATTTTGCTTATCAATATTCTCAAAATTAATAAGCTGTGTGACTTCTTGCCATGTATTCAGAGAATTCTGAATACTGGCTCAAATAGACGAGGCGGCTTTGTATTTAGTGAGAAAAATGCATAAATGAGTGAGGGCTTTAAGGGAGAAAAAAGTCCAGAAATTAAGTTGGGGTCCATACCAAGCAGAGAGCAGGCCAGGAGCCACATGCAGCGAGCGTTTGGTTATAGCAGTCACAAGCAAATTAGCACGAGCAGTGAAGCAAAGGCGGAGAGAAAAGTGGGCTCCAGCCGGCCATGCACCCCAAAGGTGTGAGGCAGCAAGGGCAACAGAGGTCAATAATGGTGAAAGAAGGGCTGGGCCCACTGCAGTCCAGGCCTTTTATTCACTTCCAAAGGGGCGTGGTCACATAGCCTGATTGGTAAGTGGGCATACAGGTGGAGTCAGGTAGGGGCATGAGATCACAAAAGGGCATGGTGAAGGCGCCGTCTTCCAGCCCACAAACCTAATCAATTTATCCTGTCTGCCTGCCTGTTTCACACCTACTTTAAAGTGATTTTTCAAAACATGAAAAAGATATACTCCTCATTTTTAAAGTTTTAGGTTCTTAGTCAGCGGGTGGTTCCTGACTCCACTACCCAACATGCGAGAGGTAAGGCTTAAGCTACAGAAATAAAAAGAGAGTTAATGAATGCAGTTGAACTTAGCAAAAGAGGGGAATTTAGATGCGAAAACCTACTTTACAGTAGAGTAAGAACATTTCTGAGTCAGTGTGATGTTTCTTCAGAAAATTAAACTCTAGTGCCTGACCGCATGGCACCCACCCACTGTATGCAATCCGTGCATCTAGAATGGTAGTCCTTGGGTAAATGGAGAAAAAAGATTGCTCAAATCATATCACTTTCCGAGTTCTCTGGTTGGAATGAGGATCCTGATTGAGAGAGTCAGTTTAAAAAATAGAAGAGGTTCCAAAGAAGGAAACTATAAATGAGCAAAATGAAAGTTAAAAGGAAGAGAGAACATTTGCTGAGATCAGAGAAAATAAAGTTCAGACACAAGAAGAAACACCTGTGATTTCTTATGCTCTGTGGATTCTGTAATCTAGCTTGTATTAGTTTTCACTGTAGTTTAGCTTTTACTTTCTTTTATTTTCCCCATTGTTGTAAATGCTGTGCGTAGTAAGTTTGCCTAGACTGAAGATACAGAAACTAATGGAAAAACCTAGCAGTAGAGATCATATTCTAAAAATATACAAGTATAAAGACTATGCAGCCGGTGCCGCAGCTCACTAGGCTAATCCTCCATCTTGCGGTGCCAGCACACCGAGTTCTAGTCCCGGTCGGGGCGCCGGATTCTGTCCCGGTTGCCCCTCTTCCAGGCCAGCTCTGTGCTGTGGCCCGGGAGTGCAGTGGGCCCTTGGGCCCTGCACCCCATGGGAGACCAGGATAAGTACCTGGCTCCTGCCATCGGATCAGCGCGGTGCGCCGGCTGCAGCGCACCAGCCGTGGCAGCCATTGGAGGGTGAACCAACGGCAAAAGGAAGACCTTTCTCTCTGTCTCTCTCTCTCACTGTCCACTCTGCCTGTCAAAAAAAAAAAAAATGCTTTAAACTCTAAAATTCTAGATCAATATTTGAAGAAAGGCATCAGCTGGCTCTTTTCCGACACCCTAAAATATTAAGCTGGTTATACTCAACATCCATTGGAGAGCATAAGCCAAGATCACAGACCCTAGTTGGAATTTTACCCTAGTTCAAGGGATCTGTGTGTGGCTACTTGAGCTAAGATCAATTTTGGTAATGATTTACTTTCTCCTTTTTCTAAGGTAGTAGAGAACTTAGTAAGTAGAGTCATCATTTGCTGAACGTAGCACCCCAGGGGGGAGAGAAGAAGGTGACCTAAGTGTTAGTAAAATGGCGCAGTCTTCCCTGTGGTGCGATCTACACCCTGGACACCATCCTAGGTTCTAGCCCCCGCCTCCATGGCTAGAAGCCAGGTGACCCCATGGCACAACCCACCGGTGTCAGCTCCACCCCCATCCTAATGGGATTCACTGCTCCTGTTTACCTGCCTGTCCCCCGGAAAAGTTTTGAAAGGACCTGTTCCTGAACACGTGGCTCTCTTTCTCCCCATCCCCTGATCTCTCTTTCTCTCTCTCTCTCTCTCACTCCCTCTCAATCTCTCTCTTACGCTCTCCTTCTCTCTTTTTCCTTCTTCACCGCTTTCCTCTGGTCTGTTGGGTTTCCCCAGTAAACCCTTCCCCTTGCTCTGGTGTTTGGTGTGTTTCACGGCAGCCTTACATTAAGTAAGTTTTAATAAAGAGCAACTTCAGATTTAAGTTCATCAACTTAATCTTGTTGCCCTGTAGTTGGTATTTCTCAGGCTTTATGATTATGATAATCTTATATGCTTGGCTTCTCTTATACAGTATGAGAGCTTTGACTGTAATGAGAAATTCCAAGTAGAAGTGGTCACGTGTTTTCTGCTGCTCTTATCTTTTATTTCAGCGAGGCTCATGAAAAGGAAGCTTTGGAAGAGAGATCTTCACAAAATAAAAGCATGTGGTTCTGATTTTGTTTCTCCTTCCCCCAAAAAGCTCAGAAATAATTATCTGAAGGTGATTACAAAAACCACCATAAATGGCACTAGCAGTTTCTTTGTTTTATGAACCACACGTGACAGAGTCAGTGAGCATCCCTAAGAGATGTCTGCTGAGATATAATTGAATGTAGTTCTTGTTGGCAGCGGGAACTTGTAGTTATCTCCCTTTCCACCACAGGGCAGCTCTTGCTGTTGTGTTTGTTCACCAATAAATTCTTTGCCCTTTGTCACTGAACCTGGGGTGCTTCCGCCACCTAGCCTCGATAGTTGGATTTGTCTATCTGGGCAGAATTCTCTCTAGATGATACTAAAAACCTGGATGGACTCTGCCTTGAGCCAGTCACCTTTCCCCTGTTTTTCTTTGTGCTACTTGATAACTTCTCTGCCCTCTGAACTCTTCTCTTTGACAACACTGTAGAGATTTACTCTCATAACACTTCTAGTTACCAAAATCCTGATCTGTGAAGAGAAGAGCTCAAATGTAACCTCGGGCTTGGTCATTTCCCTACTTTATTCACAGTGCCCCTGTTTTTTGTTTTTTTGTTTTGTTTTGTTTTTTGACATGCAGAGTTAGACAGTGTGAGAGAGAGAGAGACAGAGAGAAAGGTCTTCCTTTGCTGTTGGTTCACCCCCGAAGTGGTTGCTACGGCTGGCGTTTTGCGGCCGGCGCACTGCGCCGATCCAAAGCCAGGAGCCAGGTGCTTCTCCTGGCTTTGGTTAATGATAAGTACCCTGGTTAATGATAAGTACCCTGTCTCACGGCAACAAAACAGAAGGCTTTTTATCTGATGCAGTCAACATAAAATACGCTACTTCCAGAGCCAAACCATTGAGCTTCAAATTTTAGCTCATCCACTCGATACCTTATGACCCTCAGCAGACTACTGAACCTCTCTGTACATTAAAAGGAGAAAGTACAGAACAAATTTCAGAGTTGTAGGAGGATTAATGAGTCAGTGCATGTATGGTGTTTAGAACATTGCCTGTGGTGTCAAAAATGTTAGCTAAAGGGGAGAATCATAAAAATGAGGATTTCTATTTAATTAGCTAGGTATTGTTAATAAAGTTCCCAAATGGCATTGAACTAAAATTGCTAACTTCTTGACAGCAGTTTCTTCCATCAAGTAATGAAACCTTTCTCTCATCAAGTAACGAAGCCTGAAACTGTAGTTGATTTTTCCTTTTCCAGAACTGCCTGGAGCCTACTGTGTATTTTCCTGCTGACAGCTGTGCATACTGACACATTGTCAAGGAAGGAGCTGTTCCCGGTTCTGTTGATGTTAGGCTCACCATCCAGTCATCTTTGGACAGGGTTGAGGGTTTGAGATTAGATAACTATTTATTTTTTCTTTGTCATCTTTTACAAAGGTAGTTTTTTTGTCTCTTGTCTTCTGTTAACTCACTTTAACGTTTAGCTGTCTGTGTGCCAAGATTCCCCTCCCAGTATACTTTACTACCATTTTGAAATAAAATTTTGGAGTCAGTGCTGTGGTGCAGCGGGTTAAAGCCGGGGCCTGCAGCACTGGCATCCCATATGGGCACTGGTTCGAGTCCAGGCTGTTCCATTTCTAATCCAGCTCTCTGCTGTGGCCTGGGAAAGTAGTAGAAGATGGCCCAAGTCCTTGGGCCCCTGCACCCGCATGAGAGACCCGGAAGAAGCTCCTGGCTCCTGGCTTCGATCAGCTCAGCTCTGGCTGTTGCAGTCATTTGGGGAGTGAACCGGCAGATGGAAGACCTCTCTCTGGCTGTACCTCTCTCTGTAACTCTGTCTTTCAAATAAATAAAATAAAATCTTTAAAAAAAAAAAAAAAAGGAAAGTTTCAACAAAAGGTACCAGATCCTTTAAATACTTGTCATCATTCAGTGATTAGAGCTTCTTTAGGAATTTAGTTTTCCAGTGCCCACAGAACATTCCAATTTGTCCATTACTTTTCTCAGAATAACTCTTCCCTCCATTGATAATCCAGCTCATCAGTCACCTATTAATGTCTGGTAGAATTGATCATTACCAAGAATATTTTTCCAGATGCCTTAGTTTTCAAGGTTGTTAAATAGTATTAAATGGCAACCTCTAGCTGTCTAATTCACAGCCCTTCGTGTAGCTTCTTTATTTATAACCTTCTCTTTTTATGCCCACTCTTAATATTGCATGGAAACAGAAACTGGGCCATATAGCACCTCGTCGTGATCCTGCTGATTGGGCTGGCCCCTGCAGAAGCAGTGAGTCTCTGTCTTCCTGTGAGGCTTTGGAAAAGAAAACCTGTGGTATCTACTGCAAGCCAGCCCCACAGAATCAAGCCCCCTCATAAGCAACTGTGGCCTTTTAAACAGTGATCTTTTTTTCAATCTGTATTTGAAAATATTAGGCTTTTCACCTCCATGATTAATTTTAGTTCTTTTTTTCAGTGACAGCAGAACCTGTATGCTGGTATTGAGTCAGCAAGGAAAAGATTTCTGAATGTGCTGTTTGATGTCCAGGGGGACATTTCACCTTATAGAAATAATTTATTTCATCAACTTCATTTTTTAGATACTGCAGATGTACAAAGGCATTGTGCCCCTCAAGACCCCCCCACACACTTGATTGACCTGGAATTAAGAGAGTTCTCTTTTGAGTCCTGAGAAGTGTAGACTCTGCGTTCCATGTGTATTCTCAAGCACGGTGTGGAAACACTGTTCCTAGACCTGCAGCATGGTTCCTGCTGTAGTGTGTACTAAATTAAAATTAGCACTGATTAGTTTCTGGAAAGCAGTGTGGATTTTAGTATGCACTGAAATGTATATAATATGCCCTCTTCCATTTTTAATCAACTCAGTGTTTTCTGGATGCCTAAGTTACCCCTGTGTCGTTAGGAGCTATGTAAAACCACAGATGGGGGAAGAGTTCTCAAATATCAGGTTAGGTGATAAGTCAGGAATGTTAGGAAACTACATGATGCTTTCAGACAAGATCGGGCGTGTTCACGATGCTGTTTGTTGTGGCTCTTCCCAGCTAGCATATCTAAGCCTACAGTGGTATGGAACATTACTTGCATTTATAGTGCAACTGTCACCCCTCTCTGTGTTCACGAGTTCTCCCCGAGACTGTATAACCATTGCGGGATAATTCCCAACTCTCCCTCCCCCAGCTGCTAATAACCACCATTCTGTTTTCTGTCCCTATGAATTAGCCTCTTGTAGATATTTAACATAAGACAATACTTGCCTTTTTGCTTCTGACTTACTTCATGTAACAAAACCAAGTTTCATCCATGTCATAGCAGGCATCAAAATATTCTTTTTTATGGCTAAATAATACTCCATTGTATGTATATACCACAGTCGATTTATGGATTTATCTATTGGCAGACAGACACTTAAGTTGTTTCTACTTTTTGACTTTTGTGAATAATACTGCTATCAATATTGCTGAACAAGTCTAAACCCTTGCTCTCAGTTCCTTAAAGTATATACTTAAATGTAGAATTATAATGTATAATTTTATTTTTAACTTTATAAGGAACCACCAGACTGTTTTCGGTAACAACTACATCAGCAGTTACTTTTGTATGCTTTTATTTTGCATCAATATACAAAGGTTCCAGTTTTAGCAAATAACAACTTAATTGTTTCCCAGCTTTTTTGGTAATAGCCATCTTAATGAGGGGTGAAGTAGAATTGGTACATTGTTAATAGAGTAAAATGGTACCTCTTAGTTTATGACTACTTAAGTCTGTTGATGTATATTTTTAACAAATTTAACCTTTTTCAATCGATCTTCATTTAAAATGATGATGATGATGGTGGTGGTGGTGGTAGTGATAGTGATACCACTTCCAGATTGTGTTTTTTCTCTCCTCAAAATAATATTTTGTAATAAACTAACTATAATAATTCTATTTGTACTAACCAGTAGGAACAGAGCATCATATCTAATTAAAGTGAGCAATCCTGAAGGATTTTATTTTCTTTTTAGTGTTTAACTTCCTGTATGCCTATAGAAAGAAAATAAAATTGAGTTATAAATGATAATCTGGTATTTCTAATTATTTAAGTCAAAATTCACTAAATTTTAATGAAAGTACATTGGCTTGCCCTCGCTGTTACCTGGGGATTGTAGTAAAACCTAACTACAAGAATGTGACTTAACACAGTGTTTCTCAAACTTTTCAATGAAGATGGGTTATGTGTTAATGTTGATAGAATGGAGAGTCTAAAGCAGAGGTCTCATGTGGCCTGTTTTTCTGCATGTCTGACAAACTCCCAGGAATGGCAATGGTGCTAGCCAGGGGAGCACACATTGAGTAACAAGAATTTAAAATAACAGAATAAAACTTAATTGATAAAAATATTTTATCAGGTCCTAGTCCCGGTTAGGGTGCCAGTTCTGTCCCGGTTGCTCCTCTTCCAGTCCAGCTCTCTGCTGTGGCCCAGGAAGACAGTGGAGGATGGCCCAAGTGCTTGGGCCCTGTACCTGCATGGGAGACCAGGAGGAAGCACCTGGCTCCTTGCTTCGGATCAGCACAGCGGTGGCCGTTGCAGCCATTTGGGGGGTGAACCAACGAAAGGAAGGGCTTTCTGTCTCTCTCTCTCTCTCACTGTCTAACTCTGCCTGTCAAAAAAAAATTTTTTTACAGCTCTTAATGCACACAAAACTAAGATACAAATATCAGGTGATCTCTTTGGAAATTTTGAAAACATAAATGAATGCATTGATTGCAGACAACCTGGTATGATGGTGTCAAGATTTGGAATCGTATTTTCAATTCCTCTATTGAAATGCTTCATTTCTCATTAGTCATTGTGCCTTAGTTTTTTCAATTTTAAAGTTGGAAGTTACTTCCCACCTATTTTTTTTTTCACTGTGGTGTGAACGAAGAATATCTTTAAATTGCCTTTTTTATGTTTTCTTCTTTAGGGAGTGCCTTGGTGAAGCACATGAGCCTTGTGACTGCCAGACATGGAAAAATTGGCTACAAAAAATCACTGAAATGAAACCAGAAGAACGTAAGAGGAATTTTAGGAAGCTCTGTTTCATGTTTCCTAATAGCATTCGAAAGACGGTGTCATATTTCTTATTCTCTTCATCTGAGTGGCCACGTTTATTAACACTGGTGCACCTAAGTCTAATACCCTGCTGGAGTTCACGGGGATCATGGCGGTTTTGCAAGGAGGAGTCCTAGACTCTGTGTTTCTGCAGACTTACTTTCCAGCCTAGGAGAAAAGGGCCAGTGGGGGTCATGTTTAACTGTCCCCCCAAGCCTTCCTCTTTCACCCCAGGGTGAGCTGAACAGCCCCTTGGTACTTCATGGGGAGCAGTAGATGATGTGTAGTGGGAGGATGCTTCTCATGTGCCTGAGCACGGCCCGTGAAGGCTAAGACAAGTGAACTTCTTGCCGTTCTGTAGACTTAAAGATCATATCTATACGTCACTAAGAATTCTGTACATTTATTACCTCTGTTCATCCTCACAGAAATGTTGAAGTTGTTGTTAGTAATCTTATTTTATAGAGGAAGCTAATGCTTAGGTTAGGTTGAGTGACAGAGAGCATGTGCCTGTGAACGGAATGGGTTTCAATTTCTGAGAGGATTCCTTCTGATCATTCCCGATAGCAGTTCCCATATTTAACAAATAAATATATCTGCCATAATTTCCCATTTCCTAAAATGTACTATGACAACTATTTTCTTACAAATTAATATAATTGAAAATTAAGTTAGTTCAGGTCTTTTTGATTTTCCTTGTAAACTTCTCTTTTCTTTTTTTAGATAATGGAGTTAGTTTGAGGATTGCAAATCAGGATCAAGAATTCACTCGGTGGGGCCAGTTGTGATGGTGCAGTGGGTTAATCCACCGGTATCGGAGCACTGGTTCAGGTGTCGGCTACTCCGCTTCTGATCCAGCTTCCTGCTAATGTGCCTGGGAAGGCAGCAGAAGATGGCCCATGTACTTGGGCCCCTGCCACCCATGTGGCAGACCAGGATCGTGTTCCTGATCCAGACCTGGCTATTGTGCAATTCAGAGAGTGAACCAGCAGTTGGAGGATATCTCTTTCTCTGTCTCTCCCTGTCTCTCACTCTGCCTTTCAAATAAATAAATCTTACCCCAAAAAAAGTTCACTCAGCGAGTCTACACTTAGCAACAAAGCATATGAAAAAGAAGATGCCAACCTTGAGGGAATGCAGAGGCTAATGGAAAGCAGTGAGATGATTACAGTATCATCTGACAACTGAGGTAGCTGATAGTGCAGAAACAAAAACAACTGACCCAGGTTCTGGGGAAAACAGATGCCACAGAATCTTCCAGAAGGCAGGGGGCCGTGTGTTGAGTGTTAGTATATCTGTGAAGGCAGACATGTGGTCGGTATTCCTGTTAGCGACGGAGAGGCATGGGGAGAGACTGGCTGGCAGCTGTGAGACCCTACAGACGTGTGGTATAAAGGGATTTGCCATTGCCGGAGGGTTCGCCCTCTGCGTTTTAGATTCATGAGGTTCATTTTGTCCTCTGAGACTCTTGTGTCAACTAGAATGGCAGATTATTAAATGATAATGAGAGAAGAGAAAGCTCCTATACCTTACCAGGAGAAGAGAGAGGTGGGTGTTCTCAGTATGTCCTATCATGAGGCCTGACTAAACATTTATGGCACGTTCGTGCATCCACCAGCAGCAAGTGTTCCATGAGTACTTGCTGTGTGCCAGGGCACCTTTCCGAGTCCCAAGTGCCTGTGTAGATTGTGCTGGCGCCCTGATTCATTGTGTCTTTCCGCTGAATGCCAGGTGGTGTTTCCCAGTGCTCCTGGTACCCACCCATGTTCCCTGCTCTCGTGTGTGTGTGCGTGTGTGTGTGTTCCAGATACATGAACACAATTACTCACTAGTACCTTTAGCTATTGCACGTGCACGTGTGTTGTGTGTTCCAAATACGTGAACACACAAAACTATTGGGTTGTTGCTCTCTTTTCCTACTTATAGCAGCTAAAAAAAATCTGTATTTCTATTAGGAGTGACTTACACTGCCCTTCCACGTATGTTTCTGTGTATATTTCTTCAGAACTTAAGGTGAAGATCCAGGGGAGAAGTTAGCTAAAGATGAAACCACAATATGTGTGTTGCCACATTGGGGTGTTCCTGCCAAATTGTTTGACTTTATTATTTTAGCAGAATAAGCCATGGATTACATTATTTAAATGGCGAAGTGGCAGAATCAGATTGTTATCAAGATAACTGATGAAAGGCACACTGAAGGAGAGAGAAAACGGAGGCACAGGGGCTAGCGCCATGGCACGGCGGGTTAACGCCCTGGCCTGAAATGCCAGCATCCCATATGGGCACTGGTTCAAGACCTGGCTGTTCTACTTCCGATCCAGCTCTCTGCTATGGCCTGGGAAAGCAGTAGAAGATGGCCCAAGTCCTTGGGCCCCTGCACCCACGAGGGAGACCTGGAAGAAGCTCCTGGCTCCTGGCTTTGGATCAGTGCACCTCCGGCCATTGCGGCCAATTAGGGAGTGAACCAGTGGATGGAAGACCTCTCTGTGTCTCTACCTCTCTCTGTAACTCTGTCTTTCAAATAAATAAAATAAAGCTTAAAAAAGAATATTGAGACCCTAGGTAAGGACTGTTTTCCGAGGCAGTGTCAGAACTTCCAGTTGGGAGGATAGGAGGCTTTCAACAGTACAGGGACAATGCAGATAGAGAGCAGATGGGGTGTGTACAAGAGAGTTGGGAGGATGATATTATTAAGTAGTGAATCTTGTATACTTCCTAGTTGCCTAAAAGATTTAATGCGCCACAAGAAGTAATTAGTTCAGCACGTTAGGTAATTCTTGAGTAGAGGATGCCCAAAAGGGTTTTATTTGAGAACAAAGCAAATATTTTGAAATTGGTGGGCTGGTGCTGTGGCACAGTGGGTTAATACCCAGGCCTAAAGTGCCGGCTTCCCATTTGGGCGCCGGTTCTAGTCCCGGCTGCTCCTCTTCCAATCCAGTTCTCTGCTATGGCCTGGGAAAGCAGTAGAAGATGGCCCAAGTCCTTGGGCTCCTGCCGTGTGGGAGACCTGGAAGAAGCTCCTGGCTCCTGGCTTCAGATCGGCGCAGCTCCATCCACTGTGGCCATCTGGGGAGTGAACCAGCGGATAGAAGACCTCTCTCTCTCTCTCTCTCTGCCTCTCCTCTCTCTGTGTAACTCTGACTTTCAAATAAATAAAAAAAGATTTAGGAAAAAAAAAAGAAATTGGTACTAACTTACAATTATCATTTACCATCTTAAACTTGGACCCACCATTCCATAACCACAGACAAGCTTCCCCTAGGGAAGGAAGGGAGGAATGACCTCACTGGTGAGAACGCGTCACTGGTGGGACTATGAAAGAATGTCCACGCACGTGACAGTGATCCTGATGATAAGAAGAAAGAAATAGAAGTGTTGGGGGGAATGGTGTACATGGAGAGTACACGGTTTCCTCTGTTGGCCAGAGATGAGGGAGACTTAAAAAAAAACCTGAAGATCACCCTTGAAGAGCACGATGGGATTTCTGAGTTAGAACAATGGAGGGTTGTTAGGATAGGCAAGAGACTGAGGGTGCCTAAGTGTTCTGCCAGATGAAGAGCGAAAGCCACGAATGCAAAGAGAGGCCCAGCTGTGAAGAGTTTTCTCAGTGTGCTGATGGCGTTGTCCAAGCTACAGGACGGTGACCAGTGGAGTGCCGTTCATGACCACTAAGTTGATGACATATGATGAAATGCTGTTTATAGTTTACATTTCACTTTGGAGCATAGGCATTTTTCCTTATATTTCATTCAGGAAATCACAGAAGCATTTTTAACCTAACTATAGATTTATGAGTTTCCTCCCCCTCGTAGTGTTCCAAAGTCTTTGAATCTTGAGACTCAAAAAAAAAAAAAAAAAAAAAAGTTATGAAGTGTAGTTCATGAGAAAAAGTATTGGGGCCAGCACTGTGGCATAGCGCGCAAAGCTGCCACCTGCAGTGCTGGCGTCCTATGTGGGTGCTGGTTTGGGTCCCGGCTGCTCCACTTCTGATCCGGCTCTCTGCTATGACCTTGGAAAGCAGTAGAGGACGGCCCAAGTCCTTGGGTTCCTGCACCTACATGGGAGTCCTGGGGGAGGCTCCTGGCTTCAGATCTGCCCAGCTGCGGCCATCGCAGCCATTTGCGGAGGTATTTGCAGGTATTTGGGGAGTGCCTCTGTCTCTCTGTGGCCCTGCCTTTCAAATAAATAAATAAAATCTTTAAAAAAAAGTATTAAGAAAGCATGCTGAAATCAATTCAAAGAATCAATTACATATAAAGATTCAATGTTTTCTAAGCACTGAAATTGCCTCTGTTGTGTGTCTAATCAGTGCAAGAAGCAGGAATGATTTTATTTTCTGGGAAGTGGTTATTTTATAAAATATTCAAACTAGTTTTTCCATACTATATACTCAATAAATGTTTTTTTCAATGGAATTCAGATTCTCTGTTTCAAAATTTAATCTTTAAAAAGCAGCTGTTTTCACGTGCATCAATGTTGATTTAACTAATAGATCTTAGATTGTTATACTCTGGTAATTTATTAAATGAGGCTAATATTTCTTTCAAGGAGACCTATTTTTTAATACATTTTATTTATTTATTTATTTGTTTGAGAAGTAGAATTATAGACAGTGAGTGGGAGAGACAGAGAGAGAGGTCTTCCATCCACTGGTTCACTCCCCAAATGGCCACAACGGCCAGAACTGAGCCAATCTGAAGCCAGGAACCAGGAGCTTCTCCCAGGTCTCCCTCGTGGGTGCAGGGGCCCAAGGGCTTGGGCCATCTTCTACTGCTTTCCCAGGCCATAGCAGAGAACTGGATTGGAAGAAGAGCAGCCAGTACTAGAACTGACGCCCACGTGGGATGCCAGTGCCACAGGCAGAGGATTAACCTGTGCCACAGCGCCAGCGCCAACACAATAGATTCTTAAGAAGACCAAGATAAAATAGATATGTGACTGAGTGGACAGTTTGAAAGTCAGTAGGGATAAAGAAAGCCCACCAGGTAGGTTGAAGGGAGATAGTAAGGTACTGAAAGTGTTGTAAACAGTGTGTTTAGGTATGTGGGAAAGGCATGTGCAGAGAAGTGGAAATGGAGGCATTTTTTCCAGCACAAGTTTTTAGCATAGTCCTAGTTGGTTATTTCCTGAACATGACATTCCATGCAGTTAGCAGCTAGCATTCTCTCCTAGGGCGGGAGAAAAACACTGTTATGTTGTAGGTCACACAGCTGCTTTGTTTTTTGGCTCTGTGCTTTATTTATTATGACAATGAACAATAAGAGCCGTAAGAATATGTTAGGGCCTCTGAGCTAAAAATAATGTTGGTGCTGCAGAAAGGAGAGTAACTATTGCTCCCTTTGGTTTGTGCTTCTCCCGTTTACTTGGACACAAGGTCATGGAGGAATCTCCTTCATACCAGATTTCATGAACAGGGCTTTGGAGTAGGGCTCCTTATCTTGTAGTTATGCTATTAATAATGAAGCTGTTTAATGACTTTGCCACAGATCCCAGTTGGAAAATAAATATTGATTAAAATGGAGAGATGCCCTACAAAGAAAAGGCGGGGTTGTTTTTCCCACTGAAGTTGTACTCTAAGTCGTTTGTGTTTGTCTTTGTGCTTCATACCCAAAGTGGTTGGAGTTAGTGAAGCTTATGAGGATGCTGCCAATTGTCTCTGGCTGTTAACCAACTCCAAGCCCTGTGCTAACTGTAAGTCTCCAATACAGAAGAACGAAGGCTGCAATCACATGCAGTGTGCCAAGGTAAGAGGTTAAAGAGGGTTTTTTGCAGGCTTTGTAGTCGGAATCTCAGTTTAGTTGGATAGTCAGTCCAAAGCAGAAATAGTAAAAGCATAAACATCTTGTCGGGTTTCAGATAGTGTTTAGGAGATTGCATTCTACATTTCTTGCTGAATAACGTAACGATTGGTGTATATTACTAAATTGTACACTCACAGTGAATGTTAAAAGTCAAGGTAAGGATTCTGTTTGGGGCCAGAGATCTGAAATGCCTGAATCCTTCCCTGCTGGTTGTTCCCTCCTGTGAGAGTCCTGAGAGTTGTAGGGGTACTCCCAAGAATTCATGGAAAGTGGAATTAAAAGATGTTTATTTTGGTGCAAAACATTTTTGGAAATCTATGCAAATCATAAAGTGCTGCCGTATATAGATCTCTTGTAAAAAGAGTTGTAATCACACAGCTTAGACTCAAGGAAGACCCAAACCAGGCCCCAGGCAATCTCTTTAAGTCCAAGTTGATGTAGTATATATATATATATGGGTGTCTATATAAGTATGTACAACAGTGGCCTGACTTTAAGCCTGCTAATAAAACCATCAATTAAATAAATAACCATTATATTGAAAATGAAAGTGCCAGAAAAGATCCGTTTAGCTGAAAATAATTAATATAAATAATATATAATATAACATAACCAAAGTATACCCTCTTGACTTAGAAATTATCATATGTTTAAAACAAATATTTTGGATAAGGTTTTATCATAGATGCCAACATTTATGAACATTCTTGTTTTGAAACTATGACATTCTAATTTTTCCTTTCATTAAAAGTATCATCTGTGTTTTAAAAAGGCAACTTAAAATTATGCCAAAGATAGTGTTATATTTTCTATTTAGGAAATCAAAGAAAGGCAGATAGTTATGAAGATTCCCATAAAATGGATCAGTACCCTTTAAATGTTTCTCACTTTTGAACCCTGAAGTTTAATGAACATTATTATTATGACTTGGAAAAGAACACCAGTTACCAGATGGCTTTCACAAGTCTGTATTACTATAAAGATAACAAAAGCCAATTAGTGAAACAGTGGCAGTCTCTTAGAGGCAGAAGGGAAGACCTCTAGTGCAGTGTTTCTGAACAGAACACTCCAAAGTGTCATCACTTCAGTGTAGGACTGGTCCTAAAGTGTTTCATCTGTGTGTTCTTTCCAACATCACTATTTTTTTTTTTTTTTTTTTGAATCTGGTGTAGACTACCTAGGTGTTTAGAAAACTGTAGCTAAACCTTAAGTCAGCAGTTATAGACTGAGGCAGAATTCTACACTACCCTTCCTTTGTAGCCCCTAACAGTAGTACTTGATACATATATCTGTACTATATGGATGAATGTTTTCATGAATTAATCAGACTAATGATATAAAATAATATAGTTTAAATACATTCTGCTTAATCTTCTGTTACACTTACTCACACCAGGATAGTGTTTCTAGCTCCTGGCTTCAGGTTGACCCAGCTCTAGCTGTTGCTGCCAGTTGGGGAGTGAACCAGCAGATGGAAGATTGATGTATCTGTCTGTCTCTCTCTCTCTCTCTCTACCTTCCAAACAAATAAATAAGTCATTTCCCTATAAAAAGGGAAATTAGGGGAAGCAAAGCAAAGTAAAATAATGAGGAATAATTTTGTCGAACTCTTGCAGATAAATTTGAACTTGGGTTTGAAATGGATTGATTTTCTTAAGAAAATGTAAATTCATTAAAGCTGACTGTGGAAGAGATGTAATATCCAGATAAACTCATTTCATAGATAAAAGAAAAATAGTTCTTGAAAGCTGTCCCCAGCTGCACCCTCTTTACAGTGATGGGCCTTGACAGTTTCACAATAGAATTTGTTCAACCTTTAATGAATAGATAATCCCAATGCTATGTAAATGATTCCTGGGAGATTTTTTTTTTTATTTTAAACATTTAAATCATTTTTATAAAGTGCTCAGAATCCTTCTTTCTTTTTTTTCAAGATTTATCATTCATCTGTTTGAAAGGCAGTTACAGAGAAAAGGAGAGAGAGAGAGAGAGAGAGATATCTTCCATCTGCTGGTTCACTCCCCAAAAGGCTGAAACTGTCCGGGCTGGGGCCAGGTGGAAGCTAGGAGCCAAGAGCTTCACCTGGGTTTCCCACGGGGGTGGCAGCAGCCCAAGCAGTTGGGCCATCATCTGCTGCTTTGCCAAGCTCATTAGCAGTGAGCTGGATTGGAAGCAGAGCAGCCAGGACTTGAACCAGCGCCCATACAGGATGCTGGTATCAGAGGTGCTGTGCCATGCCAGGCCCATTGATCCTTCTTGACAAAATTATAAAAATAAAACAGTAAACTAATCTTACTTATAAATAACAATGCAGAAGTCCTAAATAAGGTATTAGAAAGAAAAAAATCGTACAGATATTAGCAGTCCTACTCCACCAGAACATATGAAAAGGGCAGTTGACCAAGGGGGATGTCCTCCAGGAGTACAGAATGATTCAGTATTGGGAAAGCTGTTGCAGCATCTCATCTTATTGGTACATCCAAGGAGAAAACCCCATGTATTTTCTGCAGATGCTGAAAAGGCGTTTGACAAAAAATTCACAGCCAATTTTTAGAAAACTTTCAAAGAAAAAGGTATAGGTTGGAGGGTTGGTGTTTTGGTGCAGTGGGTTAAGCTGCCATTTGGGACTCCCACATCCCATATTCTAGTGCCTGGGATTGAGTCCCTCCTCTACTTCTGATCCAGTTTCCTGCTCATAGGCCCTATGGGAGGCAGCAGATGACGGCTCAAGTGTTTGGGTTCCTGCCACCCATGTGGGAAACCCACATGGAGTTCCTGGCCCACCCCTGAATGTTGTGGGATTTTGGGTGTATACCAGTGGATGAGAGCTCTTTCTGTCTCTTAAATAAATTTTAAAAGTAAAAAATGTAAACTTTAAACAACTCATAGATTTTTCATAATAGCATTCTGCATGTACTTTTTAAAGTTCCTTCAGATAAATACATTTAAAAATTTTGTATCTTAATTTTGTATCAAAATAAGCTGCTTTTACTTAATCCTTATAAAGCAATAATTTTAAACTACCCCCCACACCTTTCCAAAATGCAAGAAACATGAGAAGATTCGTTCCTGGTCACACAGGCAGTATTGCTGAATCTTTACAAACTGAGGGGGAAGCAGGAAATAATTTTTATACTAACATAGGGAGATGTTTGTGTACATGTTTTCTCTTGAAGTGCAAGTATGACTTTTGCTGGATTTGCCTAGAAGAATGGAAAAAGCATAGTTCTTCCACTGGAGGGTATTACAGATGTACTCGCTACGAAGTCATTCAGCACGTGGAAGAGCAGTCCAAGGAAATGACTGTGGAGGTAAAGAGACCTGATGGAGCCAGGACCCCTGTGTGAGCCCCTCAGAGCCAGCGGAAGTACTTGTATTCCTTCTTCTCCTGTCTTCGGCTTAATGAGGCATTAAATTGGATACTTGTACAGTAGCATTTAATTTAAACAAAAGAACTCTATAAGCTTTTTTCTTTTTTTGTTTTGGTAAAGATATGAAAAGTCTTAGAGTATCTCAACCTGCCTCTGTAAAGACTCAGAAGCAATTTTAACACAATATCAACAATATTCTATTACATTATGACATGCTCTAGGTATCTTAGTCTTCTCAGCTGCCCTAACAAAATACCATAGACCGGCTGGCTTACACAACAAACATTTATTTCTCAGAGCTTTTTTATGACCAGAGGAGAAATAGGATAGACAGGCAGAGTGGACAGTGAGAGAGAGAGAGAGACAGAGAGAAAGGTCTTCCTTTTTGCCGTTGGTTCACCCTCCAATGGCCGCCGCGGCCGGCGCGCTGCGGCCGGCGCACCACGCTGATCCGATGGCAGGAGCCAGGAGCCAGGTGCTTCTCCTGGTCTCCCATGGGGTGCAGGGCCCAAGCACCTGGGCCATCCTCCACTGCACTCCCTGGCCACAGCAGAGGGCTGGCCTGGAAGAGGGGCAACCGGGACAGAATCCGGAGCCCCGACCGGGACTAGAACCCGGTGTGCCGGCGCCGCTAGGCGGAGGATTAGCCTAGTGAGCCGCGGCACCGGCTATTTCTCAGAGCTTTGAAGGCTGGGAAGTTCAGTATCAAGGTTGTAACCGACTGGGTTCTTGGTGAGGATGCTCCTTGCCTGCAGATGGCTGTCTCCTCACTGTGTCCTCACGTGGGCTGGGAAGGGAGGGAGCTCTCCTGTCCCTTCCTCTCCTTAGGAGGGTGCTGGCTGTGTTAGAACAGGACCCCACCCTAACAACCATATTTAACCTTTATCACCTCTTCACTGTCCCTGTGGGGGTGGGGCTTCAACATATTAATTTTCAGGGGACACAAATCAACCCATAGCCATGAGCCAATATGATAAAACACTGACAATCTCATAAACATTGAGAGACCTTTTGCCTTTTGGGCCTTGGGATTGTGGATCCAGTGGTTTGTCACAGAGAATACAAATGTGAGACTTTGTTCAGGGCACCCTTAAGATCCACTGGTTATTCCTTCTTGTCAATGAAATAATCAACAAATCTGTATGCATTCCTAACTATTGTTAATGCCCCTAATACAATTGTAGGAGCTGCTGGTTCTTATAAAAAGTCATTTGTGGACTTTTGTTTCCTAGGCTGAGAAAAAACACAAACGGTTTCAGGAGCTTGACAGATTTATGCACTATTACACGAGATTTAAAAACCATGAGCATAGTTATCAGGTATGTCCCAAATCATTTCTGATGAGCTACACTGCACTGTTGTATATAGAGCTAATGGTTTAAATCATTTATTTCTGTTTCTTTAGTTAGAACAACGCCTTCTTAAAACAGCCAAAGAAAAGATGGAGCAGTTGAGTAGAGCTCTCAAAGAAAGTAAGTTGTAAGTGGTGTGTGTGATCATTAATATAAAGTATCTTTCCATGCCAAGTCATCCAAGGGTAGGAGGTTAGGCCATTAAAGGGATACATCGGCCGTATCCATTAGCGCCTCTGGTACTGTTCTCTGGAGCCCTGAGCGCAGCTTAGCAGATGAGGCCTATGTGACTGGATTCCCACTCAGCAGCTAACCTGCTGCTCTTAATGCAGCCTAGATAAAAGCACATCACGATTTTGCTTCCTCTGTGCCACTGCCAGTTGGGTGGGGAACGTCCTGCCCACAGAAATTATTTGATCTGAGCCTGCCAAGGCAGCCACAGACAGGACTTGAAATTCAGTAAATCTATAACAGGATGATTTTTTTTTTTAAGATTTTATTTATGTATTTAGAGGTAGAGTTACAGACAAGGAGAGGGACAGACAGAGAGAAAGGTCTTCCTTCCGTTGGTTCACTCCCCAAACAGCCACAATGGCCGGAGCCACACTGATCCGAAGCCAGGAGCCAGGAGCTTCTTCCTCTCTGCGCACTGGGTGCAGGGCCCAAGCACTCGGGCCATCCTCCACTGCTTTCCCAGGCCACAGCAGAGAGCTGGACTGGAAGAGGAGCAGCCGGGACTAGAACCTGGTGCCCATATGAGATGCCAGCACTGCAGGTGGAGGATTAACCTACTGCACCACGGTGCCGGCCCCAAGAATGATTTTTGAGTTGATAATTTTATATGGCCCACAGGTGATGTTACAAATGTTTAAATGGCCCTTAGCAGAAAATAGGTTCCCTACTCCTGCGAGTTTACAATGTTGGAAAAAGTGGTGCCCTAGGGGGATGCATGACCTCGTGAAAGAAGCAGGATACACGTTGTCACAGAACTGAACACCCAGAGATCCTGTGAACACTTAGCGAAGTGCCTGATGGAGTAGAAGCCAAGTGCAGATGGGAAAGAATCATTTCACTGGTGAATAATGAACACTGAGGTCAAAGAGCAGATCCCTGAGAAGAGGCCGGCTTGTGGATCCTAACTGGAAGCTACTAGAACATCTCCCAAGTACGGAGTCAGTATGGGCCACGTCACTAGAACAGTTTCTCACATGGAGTGCAGGTTCTGGTATGTTTGTAGAAGGTCACATTTCTAAAATGCACGTAGCTTACATATGAGATATATTGTAAGCCTAAAAATGTGATCAGATACACTTGTGTTTGCTCTATTTTATAAAAATGAGTATTAACACCCTCTTCATGAGGACAACTCCATCATTAAGACATAACCGTAAGTTAGCGTGAAGAGAGGAATGTCAATACAGGCTTAGTTTCCTTGTTAGTTATTAGTTCTTAGACTTTATTAATGATTAAAGTATATCCCACCAGTAATGAACTCTTGAAGCATTTTCCACAGTGAAAAGCCCTCAAGGTTCCCTAGTTCTTCAGCTGGGATCTTTGTCTCATCACTGAAGTGGCCCTGATGGAGAGAACATTCCTGATGTGTAGTTAGTGTTTGTAGATGGAAAGTACTGCTCCTGCTCAGTATTCGGGAGTTTCCAGACAGGATGGGAAACTATGGGAGGAACTAAAAGATGTAACAGTTGGGGGACCAGCGTCATGGCATAACAGGTTAATCTGCCACCTGCAACACCAACATCCCATATGGGTGCCGGTTCAAGTCATGGCTGCCCCACTTCTGATCCAGCTCTCTGCTGATGCGCCTGGGAAATCAGTGGAAGATGGCCCAAGTGCTTGGGCCCCTGCACTCACATGGGAGACCCAGATGAAACTCTTGGCTCCTGGCTTTGGCTTTGCCCAGCCCAGGCCATTGTGGCCATTTGGGGAGTGAACCAGCAGATGGAAGATTCTCTCTCTGTCTTCCCCTCACTCTGTGTAACTCTGCCTAATAAATAAAATAAGTATTTTTTTAAACACCACAACAGTTGGAAAGCAAGTGTGGACTTCTCACACATATCTCAGTGAGGCATAGGGGAGGAGTGCGTGTTTGGTTTGGACTTGATCTTTCAGATGCCTTGCTAGGGACTGTGTGTACTCAGAAGTGGTCAGTGTTAGGGTGGTCCCTGTTTATGTATATACATATATAATTTCTCTCTACTTGCATGCAGAATTTTTCTGATTTTTTTTCAGTTTAGAGTTTCCTACTTAATTTCCATTTACTCAAAGTGGAAGAAAAAGGAGGAATGTTAGAATATTTTCGGAGAGAAGCATTCAGATGCTTCTGTCCTTCTTCCTCACTCTTCCCTTCTTTCTCCCCCTGAAGTTTACCTTCCAGCATTATTTACCCAGTTGTGACCTGAAGGTTGTGTCTTTTTCTGTATGATGTTGTGGTTTTTTTAGCAGAGGCGTATTATAACTAGGCCTCTTTTAACGTGTAACAAGGAATTTAACAGAGTATTTGTTGTTTCTTAAGCACTAAATTTCCCTGAGGATAATCTAAAAAAATTTAGTGAAGCATGGAAACTGTGGAATGACCAGAAGCTCTGTTTGTTTGCCGGTAGGGCGGGAGCAGAATCCTGAATGATGGTGTGCGTCCCTTCCCGGCTGCCTCCCGGGCCCCTGCACTGCCGGGCACGTGTCTCGTTTAGAAACACTCACGTGACACACGGGAGCGCTTCATGGTGCTTTTCAGCCCAGTTCAGAGAAGTGTTATCATACAGCTACTTCAGACAGTTTGCTAAGGGTCCTTTTTTTCTTTCTTCAAAGAAAACATATAGTAGTTTATTTAATTTTATAATAGCACATTAGCAGAAAGACTTTTCACTGTGTACCCTAATTTCTTTATAGCTGAAGGAGGCTGTCCAGATACCACTTTCATTGAAGATGCAGTTCATGTGCTCTTAAAAACTCGACGCATTCTCAAGTGTTCTTATCCATATGGATTCTTCTTAGAACCTAAAAGCACAAAGAAAGAAATTTTTGAACTAATGCAAGTAAGATGTCTTTTTAAGATTATACTTAAATAGTAACAGTTACTATGAAAAGCAGATTTTTTTCTTTTTAAGTCATTTAATTAAGTTTCATCTAATTTTATTTTGATTAATATAATAATTTTGTCTTCCTATTTAAAACTATCTAAATAAAGGAAAAGTTACCAGTAATAAACTGAAATCTGAAACCTTGAGTATTGCTGATTATATAATTAGAAATTTTCTCTTTGAAGATGAAACCACATTATAGCAGATGAAAAAGTTGCTGATGGCCAGTTTATTGTAAAAGTACAACACAAAAAAAATCACAGTGTTGAAAATACAAACACCTAAGCCAGCTGACATCACTGTCATTAATTAACTTCATTGTACCGTCAACTTTTTTTGAAGCCACGAAACTTCTTTATTACAGCTCTCATGTCATCCCTTTGAACTGCCTTCTAATTTATATCCAGTATTTCTTTCGAAGTTAACATCCATTTCCTGCAAAGTGCCCTGCAGACCTTACCACGAGTCTCAGTAGTCTTGCCTCAGATTCTGTAAGCCTGTGTGGATAATCTGCACTATGGCACGATGCACTTGCTCATACGTATGGTACCTTTAAACGTATTCTTCACCCAAATTATAAATTCTTTGTAGGCAGCCAATGCACTCACTACTTCTGTAGCAACCTGTCATCAAATGAGTGCTGTTTTCCTGAATTTAAGAGGACTTCCCAGGGCTGGCACTGTGTGGCATAGCAGGTAAAGCTGCTGCCTGCAGTGCTGCCATCCCAGTGGGCGCTGGTTTGAGTCCCAGCTGCTCCACTTCTGATCCAGCTCTCTGCTGTGGCCTGGGAAAGCAGTAGAAGATGGCTCAAATGCTTTGGCCCCTGCACCTGCATGGGAGACCCTGATTGAAGCTCCTGGCTGCTGATTGTGGCCTGGCTCAGCCATGGCTGTTCAGGCCATTTGCGAAGTGAACCAGTGGATGGAAGATCTCTCTCTCTCTCTTTTTTTTTTTTTTTTTTTTTTTTTGACAGGCAGAGTGGACAGTGAGAGAGAGAGACAGAGAGAAAGGTCTTCCTTTTGCCGTTGGTTCACCCTCCAATGGCTGCCGCGGCCGGCGCGCTGCGGCCGGCGCACCGCGCTGATCCGAAGGCAGGAGCCAGGTGCTTCTCCTGGTCTCCCATGGGGTGCAGGGCCCAAGCACTTGGGCCATCCTCCACTGCACTCCCTGGCCACAGCAGAGAGCTGGCCTGGAAGAGGGGCAACCAGGACAGAATCCCGTGCCCCGACTGGGACTAGAACCCAGTGTGCCGGCACCACAAGGCGGAGCATTAGCCTAGTGAGCCACAGCACCGGCCGGAAGATCTCTCTCTCATAGCCTCTGCCTCTCCATCTCTGTAACTCTGGCTTTCAAATAAATAAATAAATAAATATTTTTTTAAAAATGACTTCCTGTATATGATCCTTCTGTCTCTTTCATAACCTGGAAAACATGTACGAAATTGAAAGCATGTTAAAAAGTAAGTTATTTAAAAATTTAGAGTAATTTCTGACTTCAGAAGAGTTAAATTTAACTGAGTAACCAGAGAGACTCTGGATGTGCTACTGACTAGCCTGCTCAGCCTGTAATCCTTTTTTTTTTTTTTTTTCCTGTCTTGACACAGACAGACCTAGAAATGGTCACTGAAGACCTTGCCCAGAAAGTCAATAGGCCTTACCTTCGCACACCCCGCCACAAGATCATCAAGGCGGCATGCCTTGTCCAGCAGAAGAGACAAGAATTCCTGGCCTCCGTGGCCCGGGGCGTGGCTCCTGCAGATTCTCCAGAGGCTCCGAGGCGCAGGTAAGGATTCACCCCGTGACCATCATCCCAGCTCCAACCATAAATGCCGGCCGGTTTTGGTTTTCATCCGCGTGAGGTTCATGTTCCTATATTTACACCCAAAATGTGGGTAGCTGAAAAAAGGATACTAACCTATTTTAATTATTTTTCCCAAGTACTATTTTTATTTTTCTTACTTATTTTTTGTTTGTCATCATGCAATTCCTCAGACTAAATTAGAGTAGGTTAATTTTACATTTCACATGAATTCATAACTCAAAGAGCATTCGAATGTGTCATTTCAAACATGTAAAGTATGTAAGTGATAGAACAGCCACACTTACACTGTGTAAGTGTAGAACTTAGCAACTTCACCAGTGAGTTATGGTCATATTTGTATTTTCATGTTAAAAGGTTGTGAAGAAATGAGAAACTGATTGTAGTAAAATTATTTAAATGATCTAGATTCATCCATTAAAGACCAATTGAGTTTATTCAGATACTTGTACTTCATCTGCCATTAAAAATTGAAGTATAATTTCTTATTTGTAATAATTATCAGCATTAGAAATTCCTTTGGCCCTATTTTTACATAAATATTAATAAATATATATACTTATAAAAATAGAAGCAATCATGAAATACTTTGTTAGAACATGCTGATTTTTATTTATCCATCATTTTACACAAATATAAAGTAACTTAAAATTTTAAAGACAGAATATAATTTTAATTATATTTTCATGGTTGATTTATTTAGTTAAGTAAGTTCAAAGTAGAATTAAAATTAATATTCAAAGGGTAAGGGTCTAACTGTGGGTACTTTGTAGTACTGATAATAAATCAAATGGTGTGTCTAATTCCTTTGTAGCTTTGCTGGTGGAACCTGGGATTGGGAATATTTAGGATTTGCATCACCTGAGGTAATTGTTTTCTGGAGCTTTGTCTTTTGTATTATTCCTTAGTACAGTCCTGCTTGCATTTGCATCCTCATCTATTCTAAATCCTTCTGAGATTTATCAACAGTGCTTGACATGGCCTGCATTCAGCTATTTATGGTTTTGGAATATCATCACATTGTTAACTAAACCCCCTATTATTGTTTTTTTAAGATTTATTTATTTATTTGAAAGTCAGAGTTACACAGAAAGAGAAGGAGAGGTGGAGAGAGAGAGGAAGAGAGAGAGGTCTTCCATCCGCTGGTTCACTCCCCGGATGGCCGCAACGGCCGGAGCTGTGCCGATTCGAAGCAAGATCTAGGAGCTTCCTTTGGGTCTCCCACGTGGGTGCAGGGGCCCAAGGACTTGGGCCGTCTTCTACTGCTTTCCCAGGCCATAGCAGATTGCTGGATCGGAAGTGGAACAGCCAGGACTCGAACTGGTGCTCATATGGGATGCTGGCACTGCATGCGGCAACCTTACCTGCTACACCATAGCGCCGGCTCCCCATTATTATTTTTAATTATTGAACAATCAGAGAATTAAGACAAATTTACAGTACAGATTTTCTGAAAGAAAACTTATATGTTAATAGGGATATGAACTTTATTAGAAATATTTTTCTAGTTGAAATTATGTTTCAGTCTGAACCTGTTAAAAACCTGAATGAACAATCTGTGATTTGAACTTCATGCAACAACCTGAGGGAGTTGCTTTATAACCACTTAGTGCTAAGGTGGAAAACTTGACAATAACGTTTATGCAGAAAGAAATGCTTTGCTTAGCTTCTTGCCACTTCCCCTTCCACACTCTTCTTTTTATTGTTGTCATTATTGGTATTTTAAAATGCAGAAGGTCTAAAATACTAATACTGCAAATAGCAGTTGTGACAAATAAAAATAGACGAGGTGGAAATGTTAACCCTGAAGTTCTCTGAGATTTAAATTGCCACTGTCACTGCTGAGTCTGTAAAATGATTTCAGCAGTCCTCTGTGTTCTGTCTCCTCCCTTGCTGTGTAGAGTATAATGTACCATGATTTTATGAAAACCCCTCAAGGTAATTCTTGGAAGGAACCAGGACAAATATGATGAAAGCTTTATCATTTTTAGCCCATTGGTTACTGCAGCTGGGAGCCAGCTACATTATGTCCAGAAAGGACTGTGGTGTGTTTAAATCAGTGCTGAGGATGCTTACAGACCTTGTGACCAGGAAAATAAAGACTTGGGAAAATTTGTGTTTTTCCATTCTGATTTGAGAATTTTAAGCCCACATGGATTACACAAAGTATTTAATATATGAGTGAAATTTTTATTATAAGATAAACTACCAGCCTTTTTCTTTGCTCAGATCCTGCACTTATTATTTCTGTGTTGTGATATGATTATGGCTTTAGGAGTACTGTGGGAAATTTCTGCCCAAAAGGAGGAATAAACAGGTTTGAATTATCAAAAAACGAAGTACTAAAGATGTCAGAATCTCAAGATAGAAACACAGCTCGGGCCTGGCGCCGTGGCTCACTTGGCTAATCCTCTGCCTGCGGCGCTGGCATCTCATATGGACGCCGGGTTCTGGTCCCGGCTGCTCCTCTTCCAGTCCAGCTCTTTGCCGTGGCCCGGGAGTGCAGTGGAGGATGGCCCAAGTGCTTGGGCCCTGCACCTGCATGGGAGACCAGGAGGAAGCACCTGGCTCCTGGCTTTGGATCAGTGCAGCGCTGGGCGTAGTGGCCATTGAGGGGTGAACCAACGGAAAAGGAACACCTTGCTCTCTCTCTTTCTCTCTCACTGTCTGTAACTCTACCTGTCAAATAAACAAATAAAAGAAACACAACAAAATGGAACCCATGTCAGAGCATTCACAGTCACCTGTGATTCTGTCACCTTGCAGCTTCAGGCTCTGACATCAGCCTTAGGAATCCTGAAATACTTTTTTTTTTTTTTTTTTAATTTATTATTTTGACAGGCAGAGTGGACAGTGAGAGAGAGAGACAGAGAGAAAGGTCTTCCTTTTTTTTTTTTCCGTTGGTTCACCCTCCAATGGCTGCCGCGGCTGGCGCACCGCGCTGATCTGATGGCAGGAGCCAGGTGCTTCTCCTAGTCTCCCATGGGGTGCAGGGCCCAAGCACCTGGGCCATCCTCCACTGCACTCCCTGGCCACAGCAGAGAGCTGGCCTGGAAGAGGGGCAACCAGGACAGAATCCGGCGCCCCGACCGGGACTAGAACCCGGTGTGCCGGCGCTGCAAGGCGGAGGATTAGCCTAGTGAGCCACAGCGCCGGCCTGGAATCCTGAAATACTTGTCCTTGAATGCCGCGGGCCTGCCCAGTGAATGTCAAGTCTTTCAAACACTGAGCTTTATGAACACGTTACTGCAGACTTACAGAATTACCACACATTGTGAGACTTTTAAAATCCTCTGTGTGACTATCAAGTAACTGTCAAAATTATGCTTTAAACAAATTAGCTCTCTGCCTTATTATAGGCTGTGCAGAAAAATAATTTTAACAAATCCCACCACCAGACTTCCAGGTTGAATTTATATATTTTTTTCAGGGACGTTCATTCCCATCTTACTCTCTTTAAATTTAACTGAGTAAGTCAGGGGCAGGCAGAAGCACTTGTTTCGTGTGACTTTAAAGGCAGTGCAGCCCACTGGGGAGGGCAGAATTTTGAAGTCAGAGGGGAGCTGAACTGAAGTGCTAGTCTGCAACTTAAACAGATTTCAGCTGTGTTCTTCCTCAGATTTAAAAGGTGGTAGGAAACTCGCCCCATGAAAGTTCTGGAAGCATTAAAATAGTTCATCAGGTCACTGGCAATATTGGTGCTCAATAAATGGTGGCTATTATTCTTTTAAACCAAACCAAACAAAACAAAACAAAAAAACTCTGGGTAACTTTTTTCCCTATAAATCCTTGAGCTTTTCAATCTTCTTTGTAGCCTTAACACTTTTTTTTTTTTTTTTTGACAGGCAGAGTGGTCAGTGAGAGAGAGAGACAGAGAGAAAGGTCTTCCTTTGCCATTGGTTCACCCTCCAATGGCCGCCGCGGCCAGCGCGCTGCGGCCAGCGCACCGTACTGATCCGATGGCAGGAGCCAGGTACTTATCCTGGTCTCCCATGGGGTGCAGGGCCCAAGCACTTGAGCCATCCTCCACTGTACTCCCTGGCCACAGCAGAGAGCTGCCTGGAAGAGGGGCAACCGGGACAGAATCCGGCACCCCGACCAGGACTAGAACCCGGTGTGCCAGCACCGCAAGGCGGAGGATTAGCCTAGTGAGCCACGGCGCCGGCTAGCCTTAACACTCTTAAGCCATTTGGACCCTCATGATTAAAGCCTTTTTCTTTTCCTTTTTTTAGATTTATTTATTTATTTTCAAACTCAGAGTTATATAGAGAGAGGGAGGATGGGAGAAAGAGAGGTCTTTATCTACTAGTTCACTCCCCAGATGGCCACAATGGCCAAGACTGGGTCAGGCCAAAGCCAGGAGCCAGAGTCTTCTGGGTCTCCCATGTGGGTGGCAGGAGCCCAGACACTTGGGCCATCTTGCACTGCTTTTCCCAGGCCGTTAGCAGGGAGCTGCGTCAGAAGTGAAGTTGCCGAGATTCAAACGGGCGCCCGTATGGGATGCTGGCGCTGCGGGCAGCGACTTTACCTGCTATACCACAGCACCTGCCACCTAAAGACTTTTCTTCTGCTGATTTTCAGATCTCAGGAATTCTTAATTTTTCAGATAAATTTAACTGTATGAGAACAGTTTTTTAGGCCTATTGCATTATTAGAAAATGGCATTTGAGAGTTTCCTATCAAGATAGTTAAAAATTTAAAAAGTTTCTTTTGCAGTTGTTTTTAAGCTGTTTTTCTTAAATCGGAAATTGGGAAGAAATGTGGTCCTCAGCAGTGGTGGGCCAGTGAGCCCTGGGAAATCTTCCACTTCGAGGGCGTGGGCCTCCGGGAACAGAGGAAATGATGCAGCAGCTCAGCCAGGAATCGCCAAGAGCCTAAACAATCCCTTGGGACGCCTACAGTGTCTCTCATTGGTTGATTTCGAAGCTGGGAGGATGCCTCCTGCCTCTTATTGAACATCCAGCTACTTAACCAGATGAAGGAGTTTAAATAAATTTCACTAGAGTGGTTTGATGCGGAACTTTTATTTAGGATATAAAACTTGAGGCTGGCACTGTGGCATAGCGGGTAAAGCCACCGCCTGCAGTGCTGGCATCCCATATGGGTGCTGGTTCAAGTCCCGGCTGCTCCACTTCTGATCCAGCTCTGCTATGGTCTAGGAAAGCAGTAGGATATGGCCCAACTCCTTGGGCCCCTGCACCTGTGTGGGAGACCCAATAGAAGCTCCTGGCTCCTGGCTTTGGATTGGTGCAGCTTTGACCATTGTAGCCATTTGGGGAGTGAACTAGTGAATGGAAGACCTCTCTCTCTGTCTCTCCTCTCTGTGTAACTCTTTCAAATAAAATAAATCTTTTAAACAATAAAATAAAATAAAACTTGAATTCATATTGCTAGTACTTTCACCATATAAGTATATTGAATATTCTAGGACAACTGGGATCATCTTAAAGTTTAGACACTGAACGATCCTGTGGTGATCCTTAGCCTTTTTCTGCTGGTGTCTTGTCCCCTGCTCTCTCCTCTGCTCTCTTTTCTTCTGTCACTCAATTCTGTAGCAGTATGTTTATACCCAGGGAATAGCAGGTGCTCTCAGGGTGTAGCCTCTTGTAGTAACAAACCCACTGTAAGTGGTTGTCAGAAATGTGAAGTAGACTCATGGACATCTCCCTAAATCTGATCTTCCTGTATGCTACACAGAAACACTTCCCCTTCCTGAGTTGTGGGCAACACTACATACTGGCCAATGTAGGAAAGGAGCCAAGTCACATCTTCTTTAAAGCTAACTTAATATTTTTATCATCATCCGATTATTTGACTTGTGAATATGGTTTGTAGTAGTCCCAAAGAATAGCAGATCCAGTCGTCTGACAAGTACTGAGCAGTGTGTGTGTGCGTGTGTGCTCTTTCTTCCCCCCTCTGCTGCATCTCTCATAGTCATTTTTAAAAGCCTGACCTCAAGGAAGCAACTGACTTATATCAGTGAAAGGAATGCGGAATTAGTAATAATATTAGAGAAGACCTTGATGTCATGAGATATGAAATACGACTCAGTTATAACTTAGCCTTGGGGCTTGCAATATTCCCAGTTTATCTAAGCAATTGTAATGACTACTTGAAAATTTTCTTTTTCCACTGTGCCTTTTAATGTTCTAAGGCCAAGTGACTTTATGCTGTGCCTATAAATCACACAGTTTTCCTCCCTGGGGGAAAGGTGTAGTTTTATTTGCAGTTAAAATCCCGTGTGCCGCCGCGTATTTCATAACCCTGCTTTGTGCAGGAATATGCCGAGTTCCAGTATCGGAGGCGGCACAGGCAGCGCCGCCGCGGGGACGTGCACAGTCTGCTCAGGAGCGCTCCCGACCCCGACGAGCCAAGCGAAAGCACTTTAGGTAAGCCCGGGGCCTGAGCACGCCTCGGCCTCTGCATTCTCCTGAGCTTGTTTTTAACACTGGCTGCTGTCGATGACGTTGCTGTTGTAATGGAGATGTTTGGTGAATACATAAATGCTTCTAAAGTTGTCACAGGATACAGAAAACCAGGTGGGGGGCGGTCACAGCGTGGGTGTGGAGTCAGGCAGCCCCGCACTCACGACCCGGAGCGTGGCTGTGTAACTGTAGTTGGTCACTCAACCCTTCCGCTTCCTTGGTGTGACGGGGCCACCTTCCAGGCTCGTGGTGAGCACGGAATTGGTGGCCGCGGGTCAGACGCTAGCACTTACTGAACGCCCGGTCACTATTGTAGCGTTGATACCTGAGTACTCCTCTAGACTCTAAAACAAAGAGAACTCGAATTAGGGAGAAACTGATTATTCAGTGGGGCTAGAGAGAAGCTGTGGGGGTCACTGAATTCCCAAACTGTTGAAATGTGGAACTTCCAGAAGTCTGGAGGTAAAAATACCTTGATGTGTTATAGCTTGAGGGAAAAGAGGAAGAGATGTGCTTTGCACGTAGGAAGGGAGCCCTGGAGAGCGTACGCCGAGGATTTGAAGCCATAGCATTAGATGCACATCAGGGAGTGCGATGAGGCAGAAGGAGGTGAGAAATCCCAGGAAGACTGTGTCGAGCTGTGGACAGCAGCTCTGAAAGAGAAATTGTCAACATAAACAACAAGATGCAAGGGAGCAAGAACAGGCCTTCCTGTCTGTAACTGTGATGTCCATTGCTTTGGAACAGATGTTTCGGAAGGCGGCAGCGGCCGCAGGCCTGGCACGTCCGTGGTAAGTTCTGCCTCCATGAGTGTTCTGCACAGCTCCTCCTTGCAAGACTACACCCCTGCCAGTCGCTCGGAAAACCAGGACTCTCTTCAGGTAGCCTTTCTGGGCCCCTGCTTCTCTGCTCTTTCTGTTCAGCATGGTTTCCTGTTTTCACTTTTATTGCTTTCCTTTCTCTTACTTCCCTCCTAAAATCCTGGTTTCAAAGATGCCTACGGGAAGATTGCGGTATTTCAGATTTATCGTAAGGTGTTTTGTTCTCCTTTAGCACGAGCAAGGAGAAGGTTCGAGGAAGATTTGAGTAGGTGAAATAACCTGTAGAATTAGAAGTAATTCTGCCTGGAAAGCAGGAGTGATGGCCTGATTGAGTTCAGCGTTCCCTTTAGTCCCAGTTTAAAGTGGCTTTGCATTTTCTTGCTTCAGGCCCTGAGTTCCTTGGATGAAGATGACCCCAACATACTTCTCGCAATACAGTTGTCGCTGCAGGAGTCTGGGCTGGCCATGGACGAGGAGACGAGAGAGCCCCTCCGCAGCGAAGCGTCCCTGGGAGCGATAGGCACTTCTCTGCCTTCCAGGCTGCACTCGCTCCCCCGGAGCTCAGAGAGCCCTCGGGCCGCACTGAGCAGCTCCGAGCTCTTGGAACTCGGTGACAGCCTCCTGAGGCTAGGAGCAGAGCGCGACCTGTTTTCGGCTGACACGGGGAGTTCACACCCTCCCCACGAGGCGGGCAGTGGTCTCTGCCCCTCTTCCAGTGACCCTGACTCAGCCGGCCAGGACCCCAGCATCAACGACAATCTGCTCGGCAATATCATGGCTTGGTTTCACGACATGAATCCGCAGAGCATCGCCCTGATTCCCCCCGCGGAGAGCAGTGCAGAACCGCAGCTCCCGTGTGCCAAAGCCGGGTCAGAGGACGCGGGGCACGTGGAGCCAGCGCCGCTGCAGGAAGACTCCGTGTGCCAGGATACTGGGGTCCCTGAGGGGAGAGGCAGCCAGGCAGAAGACGCGCCCTCGGGAGGAAGCCTTCCGGCTGAGGAAGCGGCGCCTCCAGCCGGTGACAGTGGCCGTGAAGCAGCTAGCAGAGGGGCTGGCTCAGGGGGTTCCAGTCAGACGCCTCAAGCCTCCAGTGACTGGCTGGAGCAGGTGCACCTGGTGTGAGCGCACACGCGGGCTCTAGGAGTCACTGCAGGGACAGGGGTGCCAGGCCGAGCGTGCGTCACAGAGACTTTGATTCGCTCAACCCCCAACTCAGTGACAAGCCACCGACCCTGGGGTTCCCTACAAAGCAGTTCCCTGAAGTGGTAGCTTCGTTCTCGATTGTAACCATCCAGGGAATGCGTTCCGTGTTTAAGTGGATAGCTTTGCCCCCATTTTGCTGACAGAAGAGCGGGAGAGAAAGAAACACAGAGTAAACGGGCCGTGTTCCACGTTCTAAGAAAAAGCAGCCCTCTGTTTCGCCCGGGCTGCAGTGCTCACATGGACCATTCCAGTGCGAGGCTGCCCTCCTGGTTTGGGGGTGGCTTTCCTTTAAAACCACCCTCCCGCCCATCTGCTTCATCCGAGCGGTTCCTTCGGACAGACCCGGTGAGCCGTGCGTCCGCAGGCACCTCCTGCCCCGCCTGCCCCGCCGTCACTGCCCCCTTCCCCTTGTTGTCTGAGCGGCGTGAACTGCGCTAACCACGGCTTCTCTGTAGTGCCGCATCTGCCACAGCGTAGTGAGTTCTCATTTTCACCTGAATCAGAGATTTCTTTTCACGACCCTTTCCAGCCCCATTGTGCCAAACTCTGACTTGTGCACTGACTGACAAGGCGTGTAGGTGTGCAGTGTCCTAGCGCGCTCAGGGCAGCGCCAGCGGTCCCGGGAGTAAAAGGTGCCACTTGGTAGCAAAGAGATTCCGGAACTTAATGGGCTTTTGTTGCCATGGAGACTGCATTTAAATAAATGTAGCCTGTAGCTTAAGTTAACTAAACCTAATGCTGCTGTTAAAAACAGTTTATTTTAATACGAAAATACAGTTGATTAGCAACAGCGGTGCTGTATTTTAAGAGACACTTTATTGGAAGTGCAATCATAGTTCTTTGTTTTCACAATTTTACAGTGCATTCTAATTACTAATGGGTGCAATTACTTTTAATGGTAAGTGTTTTATAAAATAGAAAAAAAAGTGGAGTTTTCATGAGTTATAGTAAATCCCACAATTATTTAAAAATTCAATAAAACATCCTGCGCAACATGTTTTACCGTGCCTTTGCCTAACCTGAATGGATAGTTGCCAGTTAAATAAGTGAGTAATTCAAATTTCAGTGTCTCTTCTGAAATAACTATGCTATGAATTGCAGAGACCTCCATAAAACCACCCATGGCCTTGCCTTTACAGTAAATAAAACAACTAAATGTTCAGTTTGTTTGCCTAAATTGCCAATGCTGATGTGTGTGTGTTCTATTGCACAATACTCATTTGCTGTGTGATTACTGTTCAGTGTTGAAAAAAAAATCAACTTCCTAGTTATCAGTGTCTTACTGTGAAGCAAATACTGATCTTAGTTGTAATTAAGATACAGTGGTACAGTGTGTAATTAAAACTAGAGAAAACTGTTGGAATGGCTGTTTTACTTACATATTCTCAGCGCTAGCATTACATAAGCAAAGTAGATCTGCGCAACACCCTGTTTCTGTTTGGCCAGATGGTTAGCAGGAATCTGCAGATACCAGGATGTCGGCACTGACTTGTACGGGCAAGCCCTGGGTCCGGGGAAAGGTTCTGTTAGTAGCGATAGCCTCATGAGTTGTGATGATGATTTTTGATTACTTTTTACTTTTTTTTGCCCCCAAACCCTGCTTTTAAAATATTTTTGTATTGTGACTTCACATGGCAAGAACATTTTAATGAAAATATTTGATATTCCCAGGTTCTGCTAGGATAAAGTGTGTGAGGATTGTTCCTATGCCATGGATAGCAAAAGGTCCACATTCGGTTTTGTTTCTCCAGTTACCAGACTCTTGATGCCAATCCCTACGGAGTTAGCGGGGGACTTTATCTACAGTGTATTACTGTATGTTAAACTGAACTAGTCCATTCAAGGATTTTTTTTACAAATTTATTTTGGAGTAAAAAATCTCAACACCAGTAATTTGTAGACCATGCTGTGAGTTTCCAGTCGAGAGAGTCTGCATCACGCGGAGGCGTCTCGCGCAGCTGCGGGCAGGGGAGAACGCCTGTCCTGTGTGGAGGCAGCGCCTGCAGCGGCGCCTAGGGCCTTGCACCCTGTGCAGTTTCTGTGCCGTTCTCTCCTGAGCATGAAAAATGATCATCATCCAATTTGTATTTCCTTGGGACATACTTTAAAAACAACACAGTCATTGACTTTACAATTCAGTAATAAAGTTTGGCAAAGCCTATTTTGTAAACAGTTAATTTTATAATGTTAAAAAAAAAAGTTAATCTAACCTTGACTTGTTATTTGCACTTTCATAGTCTATACTTGATACATTCCCACTTTATATACGGTAGGACTCTACAAACGTGTAGATGTTGGCCAAATGAATGCTGTTAATAATATGTAAAATTCTTTGATTAAACATTTATTACTTAAACTACTTCCATTTGTCTCGTTACATTATAGACTGTTAGCCAAGTCAGGAAGCTGAGTTTCTTCAAACTAAATCCCCTCCAGTATCATGGGATTAAGATGTGGGTTTTTTGCATGTAACTGATGAGTATCTAAAGTCTTCACACTAGGCAACTTACAGAGCATCTTACACTGCAGTGAGAAACCGCAAAACATTGTATGACAATGTGTTGAAACATTATAATTTCCGTGCTCTTTTTCATCTCCATGGCTTTAAGGAGAAAAAAGTTAGATTTTTGTATTTGGAATCTCTGGCAGAAACACATCAAAAAAGGATATAACTGTACGATGTATTTTGTGAAATTGCTTAGGACAGGAAAAAACTTTATGCCAATTGGAACACCAATGATTGCTTCTCTATCACTTTATTATTGTATTCTTTCTGAATTACAAACCAAGCCTTGGCATCAGACCTTAGTACACATCACAGATTCCAGGCCGCTGGCTGGTGCTTCATGGTGTCTGCCAGTGAAAATGATTTCAAGTCATGGCATATATTTTTGCCTTTAATTGTGTGAATCTGAAACTGAACTACTGCCGGTATCCATGGGCTGAATCATTCCTTCAATGGTGTTGGTTGTTACAGCACTCATCTCATTTTTGTTCCTTTTTATCCTCAGGTATTTGTCACATACCTGTTATGAATTCAAGTAGGAGATTTAGTGAAGTTTGTTTATAATTTCAAAACAGTTCTAGTTCAGCTCTAAAAAATATAACCTTAGACTCTAGATAATAAGTGGTAAATTAGGGGATTTTTTTAAGGCTGGCATAAAAACTCGATAGCAAAAGATGCGTGTGGTCAGCTGTTGGCTGAGTGGTAGTTTCAGCTCAGCGTTGTGCTGCGGACGTATTCCTGGGTCCTCTTAACATCGCCTTACTGCCTTGCCAGCTGTCCGAACCTCCTCCTCAGACGGACAGATCTCTTTCTAGAGAGGTGGAAGTGACTTTCTAGACTTCATTACATGACGGTCCTTATTTTAGGAACTGACAGGGGTCATAGCTCTTTATTCATTTATTTGAGAGGCAGAGTCACAGAGGGGCAGAGAGAGAGAGAGGTCTTCCATCTGCTGGTTCACTCCCCAGATGGCCACAATGGCTGGAGCTGTGCCGAACTGAAGCCAGGAGCCAGGAGTTTCTTCCAGGTCTCCCATATGGATGCAGGGGCCCAAGGACTTGGGCCATCTTTTGCTGCTTTCCCAGGCCACATCAGAGAGCTGGATTGGAAGTGGAGCAGCCGGGTCTCGAACCAACACCCATATGGGATGCTGGCACTGCAGGTGGTGGCTTTACCTGCTTGCTATACCATAGCACTGGCCCCTGTCACAGCTCCTAAAGAAAGATGGACCCAAAGTTTCCTTTAATTCTCAGTTCCACTTAGGTCTGATAGGTAGCTGAAAAAGTGGTGGCCACTTTTGAAGTGATTATTATTCTTGAAGTCTTTAAAAATGTAATTTGACAGTGTTCCCTTTAAAAAAAAAGATTTATTTATTCTCAAAACACAGAGTTACAGAGAAAGAGGGAGAAATGGAGAAATTGATCTTCTATCTGCTGGTTCACTCCCCAAATGACTGCAACAGCTAGGGCTGAGCTATGCCAAAACCAGGAGCCAGGAGCTTCATCCTGATCTCCCACATGGGTGCAAGGGACCCAAGCACCTGGGCCAATTTCTGTAGCTTTCCCAGGCTCATTAGCAAGGAGCTGGGTCAGAATTGGGACAGCCAGAACTTGAACTTCATGATGACCGCCTCTTAACAGTATTCTTCACCAGACTATTTATCATCCTTTAGCCATTAAGTCTTATGCAAGTAAGTCTTACTAAGTATTACACACGCACCTAGCCTGATGAGGTGTAAGTTTACAGACTGAGAGGTAAATACATGAAAGAGTGAACAAAGCACAATATAGAACATGATAGTTGTTGGGAGAGACAACTCCCACTTTTCCTAGGCCATCTCTTCGGATACAGGCAATTCGTGACCTTGAAGACAGGGAGCAGGACTAAGTCCTGCTATAAAAGCAGTGAATTCCATACACTCTGTTTCTGGGCTTCAGCATAAACCCACTGTGTGCTTGGTGTCCACCCAGGCCCATTGCGTAGCCCCTGTGGAACTGGAAATGGGGAATTGGCACAAAGATGCTGATGTTCTGTCTGCTTACTGTGCTGTGATAAAGTCCTTTGTCTCTGACCCAGGAGTCTCTTGTCTTCTGTTAGCATGCCTGAGACTGCGGCTGGATGACTGACTTGTTTGTAAGTAGCACAAAATGAAAGCTTAAGATCGGGAAGCTTTGGCGCCCAGGAGGGGTTGTTGACCCGGAAAAGGAGCCCGGAGCCAGGCTCAGGAAAGCAAGACGCCCTGGGGTCTGGTGGCAGGTGTTCTCACCCAGGTGATGGGCAGCGGGGTGCAGGCTGGGGGAGACTGAGCGTGCCTCCCGTGCTAGTGTCCTGCCTATCAGCCAGCAGGGGTGGGGAACGTCCAGTCCGTGGAATGCGAAATCATTTGGTCTGGCCCTGCCAGGGCAACCACAGGCGGGGCTTGGAATTCAGTAAATCTGCAGCAAGGTTCATTTTAAAGTCAACTTTGGATGGCCTGCGAGTGGTGCTACAAATATCCAAATGGCCCTTGGCGGAAAAAGGTTCCCACCCCTGCTTTAGAGGTTTAGTGAGGAGAGGGGCTGAAAGCCACGTCCTGAGCATGCGGGTGGGCACCCTGCGGGCGGGCAGAGGGGGCGGGTGCTTTCCTGGGGACAGGCCTGCGACGAGTCTTTCTGATTGGGAGCCTCGGGGAGATTGCAAAGGTTAGAAGGTCTGAGCCACAAACTGGCAGCGCAGTTCCAGTGTGGAAGTGAATGCGAAGCCTTGCCTGAGAGTGCAGAGCCTGACCCCTGCCACGGCTGACTTGACCACCCCTGAGGGCAAGGTGCTGGGTGCAGAGTGACAGAAGGTGCCCCAGATGGCTAGGTCAGACGTGGCTGTATGCCCGGGGCGGGAAGGGGATGGCAGAGGGGAGCCCCCTGGGCCCTGGTTCTGACCTGCAAGACATCACCACCGTGCTGGGAGAGGGTGCTGTCCAGGCAAGCAGCCTGGAGCAGGGGCAGAAGGAGAAGAACAACGCATAAGTTTCTTTCCCATAGGCAGCCGCTTCAACCACGCTGCCTGCCCCTCTCCCCCCGGAGTTGAGGGCTGTGTGAGCTGGAACCACTTTGCCATCTTTTGTGTCCTTCTCGTGTAGCTCCTGACTGCCACACATCCTCAACTCCATCCGCCTTCCTGGAGTGGAAAAGGCCTTCGGACCCGCTCCGTGGTGGAGAACGGAAGATAGAGGGGGCTTGCCTGCGCGGGATTCCATGCAATGTGGCTTCCAAATCTGGAATGCAACTGATGGGTTAGACGCCCGTGAGTACCGCCTCATGGTTGTCTGTGGGATTCTCCTTCCAAGGGCTGCCACCTGTAGAGAGGGTATTGGGGCATGTAAGTCCCTCCCCAGCCTGTGTCCCTGCCCCTCTCAGGTCACCACAGAAGCTACGAGAACCCAGAAGGAGAAAGGGAAACCAGTGCTTTACTAGACTTACTGGGAGGCCGCACCCTTTGAGCCTTCGCGCAGCGCCACATCGCCACCTGCTGGATATAACCGGCAATGCACCCGATTTGAAACTAGGCAGCTAATGACTCACCGCTAAGTTCACGGAAGCCTTGTCACCTGCCGCTCTGACATCACCCCTGCGGGGTGGATCATCTTGTCAGGAGGACTGACACGATGGGAAGGCTCTGACAGGCTTGACTAGTTGAATGGAAATGATACATCTGAGGCTTCCACTTGAAGTACTTGAATTTTACCAGACATGTGGCTACCTTTGGAGGCAAAGCCACCAGCTCAGTGGAATCTCACCTTACAGAATGCACAGGCTTAGTTCAGTTGCAGTTTCCACCAAATCCCAGCAAGATTTTGTGGGTGGTTTTTTTTTTTAAGATTCTATTTACTTATTTGAGAGATAGAGACTGAGAGTTCACTCCCTAAATGGCCACAACAGCTAGAGCTGGGCTGATCTGAAGCCAGGAGCCAGGGGCTCAAGCACTTGGACCATCTTCTACTGCTTTCCCGGGCACATTAGCAAAGAGCTGGATCAGAAGAGGAGCAGTTGGGACTTGAACCGTCACCCATATGGGATGCTGGCACCACAGGCAGAGGTTTAGCCCACTGTGCCACAGCACTGGCCCATTGTGGGTGATTCTTAAATGTATGTGGAAAGACAAAGCTAAATATCTAAAACAATTCTTAAAAATCAGTGTAAGGGATCATTCTACCCAATTTCAAGACAACAGTAACAAAAGCAGTAGTTCTGGTGCAGGGATGGACACATTGATAAAAGAACAGAGCAAAGAACCAGACACAGCCACTCGTCAGCTGACTTTCACAAAGGCGCACAAGGAAAAGGGTCTGTCTTTTCCCCAAATGGTGCTGGAATAACTGGTACAAGGCAAGCAAAAATATAAAGTTCTACCTAAACCGCACAGCTTGCACTTAAAATACAAAATGTCAGAAAAACGTCCACTCTTCAGCATCCAGGCTAACCAAAGACTAGTTTTAGGCTTGACACCAAAAGCATAACCCATAAAAGAAAAAGTGGATAAATCGACCTTCACCACACATAAGACTTTTGCTCTGCATGAGCGCTGGTGAAGATGAAAAGACAAAGCCAGCGTCTGGGAGAAACCATTTGCAAGCCACCTACCTGGCAGAGAACTCATACCCAGAATATAAAGAACTCTTGAAACTAAACTGTGAAAAGACATCACTCCGATGTGAAATGGACAAAAACACAAAGGGACATTTTATTTATTAAGATGTTCAGCGGCACTAAGCATTGGAGAAACAGTAAGACACACTGCACACCTATCAGAACGACTAAAACAAAGAGTAGTGTCACACCAAATGGTGAGGGTGCAGAGACTGGATTACTTGCACACTG